CCTCCACACACACTTTCGCTCCACAGCCCCCTCCCCCCCCCCCCCCCCCCCCCCCCCCCGAGACACTGAGACTCCAGAAGGGCATATTAGGAGATGATTAAACTGGCCAACAAGCTGACTTAATCTGGATGAACCAATCATCCGGGTTGGAGAAGGTGATGATTAAACTGGACAAACACGAGGGAGGTGAAGGTTTCATGCTCGTGAGTGAGCCGGGTCAATATATTCAACGAGAGAATCTATTAACAGAATGGGACACTAGAATGATGTCTGTGCAGCGGTGGCCTGATTCGTCTCCCCACTGGTGATTGGAAGTGAGCCAGCCAGGCTTAGTAGAGTCCCTGTGACTGTCTACGGCCCGAATGAGGATCTCACTGCATGTGCCAACACTTAATGTTAGATGTGTGTTCTGCAGCAGACAGAAACCTAATACAGTCTGCCCAAAATCTAGTTATTTTTGAACAGGTGGGTTGCCCACTCAATTGGCTGTGAATGTGTACGTGTTAGCCCTGTACCCTACTTCTAGTCTAATGCATGCTGGGATTGCATTCAGCCCCCGTGGCCATGCACAGGTAATGGCTCTTCGGCCGGTCTGGCTTTGTGTTTTTGGTTGTTATCCCTCAAACTCCCAGGCTTCCTGAATTACCCACCATGCACAGGTGGCATAATTCTTATTCAACCGTGACTCCTCAAACAGAGTCACGCCACCTCACTGGGTTGATTTGCAGACAAAGATACACTCGGTGTAACAAAACTAAACAGTATTTTACCTAGTATAATCTAAAACCGCCTCTATGCTGGAGGTACTGCTAATACCTGAGAGGCAACAGGAAGCCGTAGCGGATCAGCAGGCCCAGCCCCCAGAGGACGGTCAGCCTCAGGCTGATGTAGTGGAAGTTGTTGTTGCTGCGGGTCAGCAGGTTCCAGGACTCCAACTCCTCAGCGGAGAACCGCTTGGTCACCTCGTCGTCCATGATGCTCGCCACTCCTCGCCGAGCGAAATAGAAGATGTCGGACATCTCAAACTCGGGGGCCGAGTTCAGGTCTCTGTTGCTGCCGCTCCGCCGGATCTCCTTGATCTCCTGCTCCAAGGAGGTGGGCTCCTTGGCAATGATGGCTGGAACGGTTCAGAGAGAAAGGACGTCAGCAACACTCGTCTCTAAAACAAATGCAGCGCTTGAACACGCACACAGACAGCACATCTTACCATTGGAGTAGGGTTTGTACAAGTGGTGATTATTTTCTTTTGCTCCTCTCTCTATCCTTAGTGTGGCCCACTATAATAAAGACAAAGGTGTGTGTTAGAATACCAGTGTCCCAAAATACACGGAAATTCAGCATGCCCACATCAAACTGTTTATTGTGGCTCCTGTAGCAACCAGCTGCCCCTACAAGCAAACTGTTGTAATATACATAGTTTTTAAAACTGAAGATTCAAGAAACTCCCAGCAAGTTCTTCTTGATCAGAGTCCCAGCTGTTTCCTGCTCAGGTTTTTTAATGCTTATCTGAGTGTAGTTGTTAATGTTGTAAACCCTCACAATGCAAACCTTCCACAAAGTCTAGGAAACCACGTTCTCAGAAGTTGACCTCATCCTGACCTGGGTCAATAATAAGTCTTATCTGTCACCACAGCTGTGTTCTATTAAAACAACATTATAAAGCCCACTTCCCACTGTTCAATACGTAGATAACAACAAACCGGTGTCCACTGAGAGCAGGGATGCACCGATATCAGTCCAATACTGACTCAAGTATCGGTGACAATAAGATGTTTATATACTAGATATTTTACATACTAGAATGTTTATTCCTGTTTAAGTTTTCACCAATTTGTTGCTGCATTAAAAAGGTTAATTAAAAGGTTAACGGTTAATTTGAAAGGTTTTCTACCAAGTTCCTAGTGTATGATTTACTATTATAATAATAAATCTTTTAGTATATTCATATCTATGTATTTATTTGTTGCATTTATTTGCATTTATTATTTAACGTCATTTAACCAGGTAAGTCAATTTAGTTTTAGTAAGTTGGGAAAGCAATGTTTAAATCGAGCCTGATGTTCACTTTACACAGTGAGGCACACAGCTTATTAATTAATAACTGGTATTTGATTGGTACGCCGTATCTGCCGATACCCAAAGCTCAGCTATCCGTATCGCTAGCGGGGCAGAAAAGGCCGGATTGGTGCGTCCCTAACTGAGGAGGCAGGAAAAGGACACAGTGTTCTAGCTGGAAGACAAGCAGCAGAGCTCGGGGGTTAAATTATGGCCGGGGAGGCGTTGGATGCTTTTTCTCTTGGCCAACAGCCTCAGACTATAGTTCACACGACAGCACACGATGACTTCAGAGATTTAGGTGCACCAACCAATATCAGGGTTGAACAAAGTTAAAAGCATGATTGTAAATATTCTCAAAGACAATAATGCTCAGCAGGCATGCAAGTTGAAAACACTAGAATTGGCTTGGGGCACTTGCAAAAAAAAAAAAAAAAAAATATATATATAAATATATTTGAGTGACACCGTGATATTGCTTGCACGCCATCTCTAGATCAGATTATTTTCATATTCCTACTTACTTTACTTTATTTGGTGTAGAGACAAGTTTTACGGCTTTGGGCAAATTGAAACCCATGTTGTGTGCGACTTTGTTTCAGAGATACACTCTGACAGCCAACTTAAATATATAGATATTTCACTAACAGTCTGAAAAGCAGACTATTAGAAGACTAATGACATTCAGCCTATAGTAGTGACATCTGCATTTGATGGATACATCCTGGTCATAATTACGTAAATCAAATACGCACGCACATTACCAGCATATCAAACATTCCTTTTGCAGCTGGGCTACTGTTAAATCGTGCCGTGACAAGTCGTCATACTAAATCAACATTATAACAAGCAGCTGCAGTCGACAAGATTCTTTGGCTGGAGAGAGGAGCACAGAGAGCTGCTTCTGGAACAGGAACAATATAAAGCCAGTCCATCACGATCGCATGTGGCTCCAGAGATGCACAGCAACACAAACTAACGTTGAGCAACTAATTGCAAAAGGTCTTGGTGTTACACCTAATCATGCCCTAGACAAACACTTATTTTTGTATTCAACAAGCCTGAAATGGAGACCTTTGCAAGCAATGGCGCATATTAAAATAGTACAAACATTGCTTCAGGTTCGCACAGTCTTTACTGCATCTGTCCTTTGACCTTTTCTCTACATCTCTTGGTAGTTACAGCAATCATGAGCTAAGACCGTCTCATATCTCCCACTGGTCCATGTATTTCTGGCACAAGATATGCTCTCAGAGGTCAGGCTGGGAAGCGATGACAGCTTTACTTGTGAAGATGCATGAGAGAAAGCACAAGAAGGGAAACTGGATAACGGCGTCTGGAGTCTAATGGTAAATAAAGCTGACATCTCAAAACTGGGCCTCATTGCACAATGAAGCCGATGCATTGCTGCCATCACTGGTGATTCAAACTCATTTCTAGAAAGCAAAAAAACGGCACATCATTAATACTCCAGGCTCATACACAACAGTTACAACAGTACCACTGTTTTCCCCACTTACATAACAAGGGAAGAATGGCCCTGTGGCTGTGATGCTGATCTGTATCTGCCTGTGAATACAATGGCCACTGGTCGGATGCTAAAGACAAGCATGAAGCTCACCAATGTCCTGAAATGCACATGTGAGGTCAGCACATTTCTAAAAAAATAAAAAATAAGACTTACTCAACCAACTACAGCCTTAAAAACGTATATTGTTTACAGGTACCTGCTGATTGAAAGGGCGGAGAAAATGTACAGCAAAAGCAAATACAGGCTGTCCTTGAATAACATTTACTGTGTATGGTTTGTTGAACAACAGGGTGTTAGAAAGGAGCAGGAGACAGATAATCATAACTGTGCAAGAATAGAAGCGGACCTGGAGACATACTTCTTCATTGTGTGTATACAGTGCACGCACCTTCATCACACATCAATCACCTAAAACTCAAGTTAAAATTGTACAAAAAGTAGTAAGCCATTGTGCAGCAAGCGCTTACCTCAAAGAGCTTTAATAAGGTTTTCATGTAGAGACGTCGGATGCCAAAGGACACCCCAAAGATGGCCGGCACGATAATGAAGACCAACAGCAGGGTGAACCACACGGTGAAGGAGATGCCCAGCAGGATACACACCAAGTTGTCGAAAGGGTTGAAGAAGAGCTCCATCTTGACGTTTCTATCAAACTGTTTGAAATCAGATGGCAAAGGAGCTACAGCACTTCACCTTCTGGCCCCAAGTGGCCCTGATCTTTTGTCAGAAAAAGGCCTTCATCAAGAAGACTAGGGGATGGAGCTCCTAGCATTGAACAGAGAATCAATACAGGTAGAAGTGAGCATCTGGACGTTGTTGCCCTCTTGGGCAATATTAACGAATTTCATCATCTTCACCATCAATCGGTTCCTGAAACTCAAGTTGAATTCAATTCCAGGAAAGGGAACGTGAAGTCAATAAAGTTAGGTCCTTTTTTTGCAGATGTTTGCTATTTGAGCAAAAACCTCCCGCTGGTGACAGAAATGTAAACAATAAAACAACCGGGCACAGCAGGTGGTCCTCTCGTGGTGAAGCTCCGGGGGATCCGCAGACCTGTGAAGATGTAGAAACAAAACGATCAGAGTGATGCATCTCACAACAATGTGTCCTCTAGGACCAAAGTAGTGAGAGTTATTAGTTCAGGGCAGAAAAGCGTGTCCATGCGTCACTATCCTCTGAACGTTGTACATTCTGAATACCGGTATGGGAAGTTAGTGAGGCTAGCTCTGGCTTTTCTCCAAAGCTATGGATACCACTAATCTCGGGGGAAATGGTGATAATTGTAATGTATCCCTTTTCAGTGAACGGCCAGATAACTTTATAAGCTAACGTTACTGTTACCAGCATCAGTGCAGAGATAACGTTAGAGGGCCTCCGTCCTCATCGACTGTGATGATGCTAACGAGAGTAACACCACACTGGGTTAGCTCAGGCTCATCACTACCAACGGTTAACGGGTAACGCTTCATTTAGCAACAAATGGAAATAGCACACAAGCACAACCGCAGCTATTAGTGGGTCTCGAGACTCAAGACTTCCTGTACCCACGCGGAAGATTTTGCGTCTAAAGTTAGCTTATGGCCTCCAGAGCTAACGAGCTAACGGGTATGCTACATTGTGTCCCCCTGGCGTGCTCCACTTCGTTCAGCTAGGTCGCGCCCAGCCCTCGAGAGCACCGTCCGGGTGTAACGTTACACGAAGTGCTGAGCCAACCGTTTTATTACAAGCTTGGTGTGAGTAAGTTAACGTTACGTGTCCCGAGTATCTCACCGGTTACTTTCATAAACCAACAAGTCCACCCGCGTGTAACTAGTTTAATTGACTTAATAGTTAACGAACCGTTAGTCCCGTTACGTCCGGTGCCGGTACAGTGAGGCTTCACTGGTCAATCAGTTGTCTTTGTCTTGCGGACTGTAGCCAAACTCCACCCGGAGAACAACATGGGCAGACAACGGGCGGCTCGTAGCTGGCTACGTATTAGAAACCACCGGCCGGCCCTCGGCTGATCACACTCAGCTCTACGTTGACGCCTGCTGGCCACAATGATGTACTGCAGTAACATACAAAAATATATATTGTGCAATGTGTGACCACTAGGAGCGCTGTAGAGCAATATTTTGATGAGCGGGTGTTCATGCGATATCATGAGAAACTTAGTCACTCTACTGAGAAGGCAAATATATACGCTGCAACGGATGCATTCAAATAAAGCAGAAAAAAGCAGATTTTTAGACTTTCAATTCTAAAGAGAAGAGCAGTAGGCTGGGTAACACGGTGTGTCCCCTTGTTACATTTTTTTTTAAATTCTAATTCTTCAATGCTTCCATCAGCAGACACAAAAGGCCAAGGTGTGGATCGCCATCTTACATATATAAAACCTAAGCAAACAAAAACAAACCTTTATCTGCATGGTCACTAGAAGTAAGTGAGATAATTTGATTATTTTTTGTAATTTGAGTGAACAAATACTTAAAATAATTTGACACTAAAATACTGTAATAACAAAAACGTTTTTTTATTTGCCCATTTACATCCATGTACAGTCTTCTCAAGTAATATCGGATAAACTAAAATGAAAACTGAACTGAAATTTGGCACATCATTCACCCTTCAACCTTCAAATCCTGAATTAACATGCCTATTCCAATAGAATAAAGTAAAACCTCAGTTATGTTTCATATTTATAGATAGTGTATTTCAATATAATACTATAGCCACTCTGAAAACACAGACGCACAGTCAACATCCATCTTGTACTGGATGTCAGGTTCCAACAGTCCATAGTGAAAGTGAACATCTTGTCAACATCACACTCAGTCCTCCACTGCTCTGACAAGCGTCAAGTATTGCTCTCCAGGAGAGCCTCAAAGTCTGGGGAGCAAACCATCTTGTGTTTGATATTCCCTAATACAGTCAAGTTGCCCGTTCTTCCCTCCGTACCAATAGAGACCAACTCCTGAGAAAACAAAGGGGGGTGAGAAGAAGAAAAAGCATGTCAGAAATGTTAATAATGGATATAAAATAAATATCTAGAGACACTGGAAAACACAAGTTGCGCTGTATCAAAAAAAGATTCAGTATGAGGACAAACAGAGACATCAATAGTGGGATCACACCTGAAGAAAAGAGCACGATGCTCCTAGAGACACATCGAGCGTCACTTGTCCCAGTATGAGCTGGACCCGGCCAGACTTCCGCACCAGCATCTTTCCCACAAGACCCTCCCGCAGGTCTTTCAGATTGCAGTTGGTGTCTTCAGCTTCCTCCTCCTGTTTGAAATGAAAACACGGCTTACACACATTCCCCAAAGATCATCGTGTATTCGACATGTAGACGACAACTACATTTACCTGAGATTCTGTTTTCAGAAGCACGGACTGCCCGTCCTCTGACTTCACCTCTGTTTTCACCGGCCTGTGCTCCTGAGTCGGGGGCTGGCCGGGCAGCGTGTCCGGCATCTGCATGAAGAAGAGCTCCTCCCCTTTGCTCAGACTCCATTGATGCAGCAGCTCAGGGAGAACTTCAGGCTCAGGGAGAGGAGGGGGCCTGAAAGCTCCTTCTGACTTCTTGATTTCGGTTTCCTCAGGCTCCTGTTTCACTGAGGAGAAAATAAAGTGTACTTTTAAAAGAGAGCAGCTGCGCGGACAACATGCTTGTTATTTATTTCCCGCTTTCACAGACTATCATACGTATTGGACTGCTGACTTGGAAACTGCTACGTAGATACCACACCTTCTAGTTTTATCTCGCTTCCTTCCATGGGTTCAGCATCCTCCTCCACCTCCTCAATTTTAACGGCAGCGCTATTAAATTCCTCCGTGAATCCCCATCCCGATACAGCAAGAGGAAGCTGGACAGGGCAGCTCCTCTGCTCACTCCTCAGGAAGGGGTCGTCTATAAACTGGAAGAATGCAAAGGAGAAGAAAAGTTACATTTAAGCGAAATGCAAAATAAAGCTACTACGAGGAACTTTTGTGTTGATTTTGGCGGTCCCTATGGACAAAAGCGGTAGTGTTTCAGAGAAGCAGAGTCCCTTTAGAAAACCTCTGCTTTAACTGCAGCAGGGTGCGACAGTCTGCCCCGCTTAGTCCTGGTTCTCCCGAGCCTCGCTTCCCTACAGCTGGCCCAGCAATACAACCGGGAGAATAACTGTACAGAGATGGCCAATCTTCTCGTCGATGGTCTCGTTTACTTATACAAGTCAAATAGAAGCATCAGTATTAAACTGAGACTCTTTCATAACCTCGCGGTTACTTTAATAAAGAGGATAACCAAGCGACTTACAGTATCTCGCTCCAGCTTGGCAAGTATCTCTTTGGTCTCTTCCTCCGTCTCTCTCTTCTCCTTCTTAATATTGATGATGGGCAAAGGTCCCACGCTCGGAGCTTCTCTCACATTCTCATAGGCACCTGTGTATGATAGAGGGATGCTTTTAAACCAAGACAAGACACAATCAAACATGTGTAATATAGACTGTGTAACTACAGCAGTATAGAGGGAGTGGTCCTCCAGCTGGACTCCTACCTTTCTTTTTCATCATCTGCTCTGCCGGCCCCTGCTCAAAAATAGAGTGGGACTGGATGACGTCCGGGCGATCTCGGCCCCTGCCTCTATCTCTCGGACCCCGACCTCGACCAGCATCCCTCCTGTCTCTCCTCTGCCCGCCTTCTGTTTTTGTTCTGTCACAACAGACAACGTCATTGACCAACAGTCGAAAACATAGTTGAATCTATTGTCATTTTTCCTTTTGATCAGCTGAGAACTTACTCTTCTTTGGCTTTCCTGCCAATAATGTTGGGTGTAAAGGTTTTCTAAAAAAAAAAAAAAATACAAAACTAGTATTACAGGATGGGAAAAAGCAGAAGCAATCCTGGACAACGATTGTTACCGACAGTGAGATACAGCACGTTACCTTCTTCACTCCTCCCAGGGTGAGGTCTCTTGACCGCATTGAGGGGAGCCGGCCAGTGGAGACGGCAGCGGGGGGTCGGCGGCCCATCAGCACTCCTCTACCGCTCCCTGTAGGGGTCGGCACACGTTGACCACCGGGGTCACCGGAGCCTGAATCAGCCATCCTAGACTGGAGACATGTGGCAAAAAGGAATAAAGAACTCGTACATGTGTGACTGATTATTAATAATATGAATCAAACTCAGATGTTCTTAGCTGATTTATTGTTATAGTGTGGACAGATAGAGGTATACTGACTTAATAATGAACAGCAAGGATGATGTATTATTTTTGTTTACTTAAGAGTGCTATACTAATGTCACCTACACGTGCTAGCAAATGAATCTGTTCAGGAAAAAACTAAACGTCCTATCATATTATTCATATTATTCTATATTGTTAAATTTACAGCATTTATATTGATCAGTGTTATACTGAATGGAGACATGCAGTTATTTCTCAGAAAGGGGCATCTGCTTTTTTACCACAGTTACGCATGTAATCCAGTGACATAAACAACTGACAGCTATTTTTAACTATTCAAGTCAATGGTCACTTTAAACTTTTTCTATGTCACGACTTCGGCTTGTAATATTGAATGATATGACGTCAACAACGGCGAAAATTCAGTAACACGTGGCCAAATTAAAACACGAATACAAGGATGCACTACAAGTATTATTGAACGTTAAGGTTGTCAGGAAAAGCTGTTGACACGATGTGCTTCTCCAGATACTTACGTTATGATTTACTCGGATGTCCCAATTCAATACTACGTCCTAGCGTGCGAGAGAAGAGTCATTACAAGTTGTTTTAGGCTAGAGCTGGTTCTGACTCGGCATGACGCGCGGCGCCATGACACTTCCGCAGTGTCATCAGCCTGTGAGTTCACGTGCATCAAACCTGCGCAGAAAAACTCGCATGAATATCAATCGTGAAATCAATTCAACTATCGTATGGATACATATAATGATCTCGGCTTTGGAGAATTTCGTTTATGTTTTTTTACTTGCCCTATATATTCTGAGTTAGAAAAATTATGATAATGTGCGCAGTCAGCGTAATGAAAGGAATGTAGGTTAATGCTCACGGCTCACTGTTCATTGCCATGAATACACTCTTTGAGATGAATTATTATTCAGGCACGAGCCATATACACATAGACTACTGTAGTTAAGCCTTGACTGTTAAGGCAACATGCTAGGCAAATATAATGTGAATAAATAGCGCTCACCTGCTAAAAGTCAAGCAAAATATTAAAGGCCAACACTGCCAATAGATAATAATATACATACATTAATAACATACACAGTGCCATATCAATGTATCAAGAACTCTATGCAAAAGTCCTGCAGTTTGGTGAGGAGTGAGCAGAGTAGACTAGCCTATTATTTTCACTATATATGTTTTTACAGGTTCAGTATTTATTTATAGTGGTCTAAGCTCCAACACTTGATAGTAACAGCAACATTGTATTCATAAACTTAATTCTGGGACATTTTTCTACAAATCTACACAACGAGTTATTCTCTTCTTTCAACTGGTTTTCCATGCAGATTTTTAAAAGTTAAAGAACACCATTTGGTTGAGGGCAAATCGTGTGACTATTGGTGCTATTGGCAGCACACAAGAAACATTTTAGTCATGTACTTATGATGACCAAAGGCAGAAGCATTAATTATTCCCTTCTCTTAGAAAAGCATCACTTAACAGCACACTGAAGTGATATCTACAGCTACAATACAAGACGATATAGTTTCACATCACAACATCATTATAATTTACTGTAGATATATTTCCCTTTTGTTTTATTGTATAGGTGACTTTTTCAAATGTACACATTTTTTCAGTGTATACCATGATTGAAAATCCAGTAATGCGAAGCCCTATGTATCAAAATAAATTAATCAGTTGTTCATGTTCATAACGACAGCACACTTGTTAAATTTGTGCATGATTTGGTGCAAAGAAATACAAATGTTATGCTTGTACGTCTGTAAAGTGCAAGTTGTTGCAGGATCCAGGATCTGCTGCCGAAGGAACAACAAGGAGAAATAAATCCCGGCTCCAGGCTGCTTCTGACTATTGTTTAATGCTTCAGGTCACTCCAACCTGGTGGTGTCTGGTCCTACTGATAATGAATGGACCTTTGGGTTTGTGTCATGATGTGCAGGGGCCGGGTTGTGATGAATAAATCCACAACACTTTTAGAAACTGCAAATGTTGAGGCATCATTGAAATATAAACGTTATCATCCGGTTTAAGGACATCACAAATGCTTTATGGAAATGCGTGGAGCCAAATTCTCTTCAGAACAGACACACAGCCACCCCTTAACAAACCAGCTATTCCCACCTCTGGAGCTCAGAGGGTCATTTGGGCCGAGGCAGACTGTCATGCCATGACTAATGATGGATGATTGCAGTTTAATTACACTCTGAGGGTATCACTTTTCTGTGGCTGGCTGGAAATAAATGAAGCTTTTCAATACTACACACGGCCTGTGGAATTATAGCAATATATCTTTGTCAGTTTTTAAACTCAAATATTATGTGTTTGTGAAAGAACTGCACTCTCACTATCAGTTCATCCTTTTGTTATTTGTCTTTATTCTACGCCCATACCAATTGTTTTAGCAGCAGATTATAGCCATTAATCTGGGAAGGGTCTCTTTAATCCCTTTCTGAAATCCTAAATGAAGTTGTCCCCATGAGGTTGAACCCAGGGTTTAACCAAAAACATCCCTCTGAAACTCATGGGAAATCTGCTTACTTTGGACTTACACGGTGGCATCCCTCGCTTCCAGTTGGGCTGTGGAACGATGGCCTGTGGAGTTAGTCCATATGGCATAACAGTTGGCACATCTATATTTTTGAGGTCTTGATGGAGCTCCGTGTAATTTCCTAGGACATCACTCAGTATAATCTCTTTTGCATGCACAGCAGCCAGTGGAGCGTGTCAACAAATGGCTCATGTTTTCCCCTCACAGCCCTCATGTCGATAATGTCTCCATATCTGAGAGAGGACATTTATGCAAGTGGTTACTCTACATCAGTGTGCGTGGATTTAATGCTTCAGGGTATGGCTTACTGGCAACTGATGTGTTGTGTATGACTGGCTGGCGAGAGAACGCTGCTGACGAGGTTGAGTGAGTGTCTCACTGTGGTCACACTCCTGTTGGCAAAAATTCTCATTTCTTGCTTCGTTTAGGATTTAATTCTCCCTGTGTGGCTGCATATAGGAGTCAAGTAAACATCGTCCTTAGGAGCCCAGGGCAAAAATGAGACTGGGAGGGGGAGAGGGGGAGTGGGGGAGTGAAGTGGAGGGGGGAGGTTAGAGTGTTTGTGTGACACAGAGACTGAGAGAGAGAAACAGACTGAGAGAGGAGGCTGTGTGTTCGTTTCACCTCCTAATCAGTTTTCCTGGTGGGATCTATCATCGACTGCAGCAGGGGAGGCAGGTAGAAAAGCGGAAAAAGAAGATAGTAGATTTTTGCCAAGCTGTAATTTTCTCCCATCACCATCTAACAATTTGAGCCTCAAACAAGTAAGTATCAGCTTACTTATAGATTGTAGTGCTCAGAAAATAGATCTATTATATTGTACTCCCACTGTATGAAGCTGTGGAGATCAGACAATCTAATGGGGCATTTCATTTGTGTATTTCTCAAGTAGGAGACACAAAGTCAGATGAATACAGTAGTTGGGGTGTTAGTACATGAGTTTTATTTGCACGTTGATACAAACACGCATGTGTGATGACATTTACTGCCAACTTTGGGCATTTATTACATCCCATGAATGCCATTTTACACGAGACTGCCAGGATATTTCATACAGCAGCATTGACTGCTTCATGTAAATGCTCATTTTCCTAAATCTTATTGGTTGGTTTAATTGCGCGAGGGGGTTTATTGTTTCAAACTGTATTAGTCACACAATATCTCTGTTTAACAGCGTGTTTATTGAACTTTGAACATTGCCCAGTGTTTCATTCTGTGGCCATTTCAACCTCTTTAGTTTAAAACATGTATGAGAAAATTCCGCCTTTTATCCTCCCTGGTGCAACCATCTAAACGTGTAAAGTCTTCTCCTCGGAGGAAAATGTGACTTTGAAGCACAGAGTTGCTTTCTGTGCCCTGCTCCATATGCATGAATGCAGCAGCTGCTTTCATGATGCTGCCTCACAGAGATAACAGCTAGATGTCTGCTAGTGAAAGAAATGTAACTGCTCTAACAGCCCAAATACACACTTCCAGATAAATTATGAATTCATATGTGAGTCCCTGATATAATTATGAGTTAGACCCAGTTGATTGATTTGGAGCAACCGGCTATCAAAGATGGTTTTGCAGCAGAGATAATTGGCTCACATTTCTTTTTACAGGCTGATGTATCAATCAGGGCGACGGCATTGTGTATCTGGTACGGAGACCTGCGTCTGAACTGTGTTCACATGTATTCGATCCAAAAGTGGAATACACACAGAGACATGGGGGGGGCTTTAATGAGTTTTCCTGTGAGAATCTCCTCTTGCCCCAGTTTCTATCTCTGAAACAGGCACCGTGTTTTAGAAACGGGAACGGCAGCTGGAAAATGGACGCGTGGAATCACACATGCGTGATGCAACAGCCCTCTCCTCTGGCCCCCGTGTGAATGAGCTACCGCACAAATTTCACAGTTCACAGGCTTTAATGAGGTGCTGCAGCCTGTCCATCACACTGACTGGAGAATACCTTAAGAACCCCACAGTCAGACAATGACACTGCACCAGGCATCTGTAGGATCATACAAGGCAAAAAAATGAGCGTGCTGTGATTTTCTTTGTACTATTGCTGGAGTTATTTTTAGGCACATCTGTAATTATCATATTCTCAGTGTGAGTGCGACTTTAATAAAGCGTGGAGTGGAGATGCTGGAGAAATAAGGAGAAAAAAAATGCTTTTTACTAGATCAGTAATCAATACAGGAGGAGATGATTGCAATGACACATTTAAGATGGATGAAAATTACAAGCAAACCAGACAAACAGGAGATGACCATTGTGCACATGCTGCAGAGACTTACTATCAGTTTGTGACAGGGATGGTGACAGCTAATCAAACACAGATACAGGCTCAACAATAGATTGCACCCGGCCCGACACTCAAGGCTATGTGCAGCAGTCTGGATCGAATCACTGATGGGCAACTAAAGGAAATATGATCATACATCACCTGCGACTGATAGCTACTTAAATCTCCCCCTGTTTCTGCCACAACAGTGTAAAAGCTGCTGCAAGATTTCCCTCGAGCTGCAAGGAGTTCACTCAGCTCAGCTGTTTTGAAGAGACGTGCACTTCAGCCAGGAGGCAAAAGTGTTTTAAAAAGTTACTTTCGGTTTAAATTGTTGGTGACGGGTGCAGCAGCGTTTTTGTTTGTGTCCCCCTTCCTTGGGAATCACAGGAGAAGATTGAGGGAGGCTGCAGACGTGTGGTTGCTGGGAGACTGCTGTAGGTGGATTATAAAATGCATGTATTGAGTTGTGTAATGATTGGAAATGTCAGTTGAGCGCGAGGAAGGGGGTGCAGAGCAGGACAGTAATAAAATATATAAAGGTTAATTAGATTCTGTCTGGGGGTAAATTCCAACGTGGTGTTTCTGCAGTTGTACAGTGTCCATCTCTAAATAATATAATCTATTCTAGCATGTGTTGCCTCCTTCACAAGCACTGTATTACCGTGATTGCACTCTGGTCTAACTATCCCCCTTTATCTCTCGGTTTAACGACAGATGACAGAAATGGAAGCACCTCTCGAAGCACCTCTCGCCACCCCCTGCAACATCCAGATTTGTGAGGTGACCTGTGACTCCTTCCGCATCATGTGGGACATGACCCCCGAGGACAGTGCCAGAGCAACACACTTCTTCATTGACCTGAGCCGCAAAGACAGCAGGGACCACAACCGCTTCAAACACAGGGTCTGAAAATCTGAAACTGCTGCTCCACCACATGTACCTTCCTCTATCCTTTCCCTGGATGTATCTGTCTATCCCGTCTGTGTTCATATTACAGATTCACAACAATCAACCTTCAACATAGGGTTGGTGAAGAAGTCCATCTTTTACTGTTTGCTCTTTTACAATTATAGCAGACAGCATGCATGAGACAGGAAAACTTGCATTTTATTGAGGTCTAGCCGGGTTAACAGATGGGTCTAACAACTGTCTTATGATATTCTGCTTTAGTCTGAACACAGAAAACAGTGGTTGCGCCCTTTCAGTCACTTCTAATACAGGCGAAAAAGAAAAATGACTGCAGTCAACAGCTTCAGGCCAGTGACTCACTTGTACATTGCTCTGAAAATGGACAACAACTGACAAATTCATCTGCAGCACAGAGCAGTTTTTTTTTTTTTTTTTACAAATTCAACACATTGCATACACCACAAATATCAGGCAGCAATGTAGCGTAATGGTTTACCTTTTTTTTTTTTTAATAGAGATGCTTTGTATAGCATTTAGCTACTAGCTTTCCATCTGCAGTCCCTAGATCCCTAGCATGTATAACATATACTTTCATGTGTTGTACAGATATGTATGTTTATCTATTCATTTTTATCAATGGAAGCTCCATCGCTCAGGGGATGGCAAATTCTGTCTGTGTGGTCCAGATTCAAATGCTTTTTAGTGGCTTGCCAGGACATTTTGAACTTTTGTGATCCTCTCACTTTTCATCTAGTACCATCAGGTCAATTCCATTACGACCAAATATCAGCATAAATAATGGAAAATCCCATTAGCTTCAACTGTACTTTGTCTTTGTTGCTAATTAGCAAATTTTAGCATGCTAACATAACATGCTAAACTAAGGTGGTGAACATATTCAACATTATACTTGCTTAACATCAGCATGTTAGCATTTTCATTGTAAGTAATTTTGCATGCTAGCGTTAGCATTTGGTAAGTACATCCTCATAGAAACGGTAGCATGGCTTGAGCCTCTTAGTCTTGTTTAAATATCGCTAAAGGAAAGATTTGATCTTTTTTACACAGGTTAAAGGCCCACACATTAATAATGTTATTAGCACTGGATTGATCAATTTGGTATCTAAATATAGCTTCAGTAGCTAAAGTCTAACATTTCTGATCTTCGTTCATTTCAGATGCAGAATACTGACTGTAATCATGGCCTATCATTGCAGTGAACAATTCAAAAGCTCAGTGCTTTTGTGAAGTCAAGGCGGGGGGGTAGTTCTGAGAGAGTTGTTCCTGAATGCAAGTAATGCTCTCTCTCTGATGCACAAAGTGGCACAAACAAACTTGCATCAGGGATGTTGTCATGGATATATGGGCCTCTGAGCCTTTAGTAATTAGCTGTGCTTCTTAGAGGCGTTGGCCAAAACAAAGCTGTTGATTTGATTAGATGTATCCTAGTTACAGCAGCTTGGGCTTGAAGTGGAATATGATGCTAATAAGGCAAACTTCATAGAGGGAAATGGTTGACTAAACAATAGCATTTACATTTGTTTTGAAATGTAAATAAAAAAACCCAGCGGTCTGTTAGCCTTGCATCCTGTCCCTGATGTCAACTCCTTCCTTCCTTGTCCTCCAGGATGTACCAACCAAGCTGGTGGCCAAGGCTGTACCTCTCCCCATGGCAGTGAGGGGACACTGGTTCCTCAGCCCACGGACATTGTACTGTGTTGCTGTCCAAACTGCAATCCGACAGCCAGACGGTGACTACCTGGTTTCAGAGTGGAGCCAAGTGGTGGAGTTCTGCACCGGGGGTATGACATAACATGCCTGTAACACTAATAATGTATAGAGTATGAGAGCATTAACCAAAGTAATAAAAAACTAATATTCTGTGTCAGCACAGGGTACTCATTAGCATTTTACCCAATTTTGCAGACTATGCCATGGAACACTTACAGCAGCTTCTTGACAAGGCCAAGGGCTCTGCAGTGAGGCTGCTAAAGTTCTCTGTGTTTTACCGCAACCAGCACCCAGACTACTTCGACAATGTCAGGTCAGTGCTGCATTCTTATCTTTTAATTGTATATCTAAAGCAATTCCAGCAGCAATTAAACCATTCTCAAGTTTGTACGGTAAGTAGGAAGCTACCGCAAGACATTTTTTACTAATAAATAATAATAATGCTCCTTTTTCTGTCTTCATATATTGGATTAGTAGGGAATGTGGAGGCCTGATGCGTCCAGCCCTAAAAGACATCAGTGGGAGTCATGGTTCTCCTATCAATGGCAAACTGCAGGGAGTCTTCTTCAGCTGCAACACAGAGTTCGATACAGGCCTCCCTCCCAGAGACTCCCCTTATGGCCCCTTGCGTTTCCAGATCCCAGCTGGACACCTGCTGAACCCCAACATCTCCCTGTACTTTGCAGACTTCTACTGTATGTACACAGCCTACCACTACGTGGTGCTGGTGCTGGCCCCTGTTGGCTCAGAGGGAGATACCTTCTGTCGCACTCGCCTCCCTATGCTGGACTTGGCCTCCAACCCCTTCCTGACATACACTGCCCCCCAGAGGCCGGGGGAGGAGCCTCTGTACTGCCACGCCAGTGATGTCATCCTTGAGGTGCTTTTCACAGAGCCGGTTCCCTTGGAACAGGGCAGCGTGGAGCAGATCAGTGGGCACCACCAGCTCATGAGTCTGACAACAGCCAACGCCAAGAAAGACCCGAGCTGCAAAGTGTGCAACATCAGTGTGGGACGCTGAGATGTAGGACAGACCTGGGAGTGTGTGAGCCTGCAATATCGAAAGACGGTGTTGCACAAGACAAAACATTTGAGACCATCATGTGTAGGTCAACACATTGGAAACAGCCCACCTCTCGGGGTGCGTGCATGCTGCTACCCCTCTTCCCTCCTGCCTGGACTAGAATAGTGAGTATTAAATAGAAGACTTTTACAATGTGTATCGCAGAACTTCATCATGAGCACAGCTGGAAACAGTAAACGTCCATCCATGGCTGCTGAACAAAACATAATTGAAGACATGATAGACTTTAGATGGCTGGAAAATAGTTGCTCCTTACTTGTTGAGAGACTTCTGTGCTCTCTGGTGTCATTTCATGAATATCTTTTCCTTCTTTCAAATTTACATTTTTTCCCCTTAAGATGTGTTTGATATTATCTTTTTGTTAAACCGTTCCACTAGTGTGATGTGGTTTCTCTTAAAGAAATTTGTGTTTGATACAACCTGAACATGCAAACGCTAGAAGCATACCCCTTTTAAAACACAACAGGTCATAACAAAATATTTAGCTACATTTACTTCTTGTGATGATTTCTCTAAAAAAGCTGCCAGATGTTCTTTATCCTTTAAAAAAAAAAAAAAAAGGATTATTGCCAAACATCCAATCTTTGACTCCAGTTGTCAGCGCTCCTGCCAAATGCTTCTTATGGAGTTCACTGTAGAGTTATGATTTGGAAATTGTAGCTCAGTGTCTAAATGTTGCAGGATATATGTTGCATTGTGAAGATGAAAGCAGGGCGTTACAGAAAGAAGGTTGTATCACAAAGTTCCCTACGATCAGAATCTGACAGCAAGCCTCTGCTCTGCAAACAGGGCTGAGCTAAGATTAGCTTCAGTGTCTGCCCAATAATCTCTGACCTATATGGAAATCCGTGAAATGCCTAAAGTGAAAGGGATCCCATCTCTGGTGCACAACAGTAATGCATGCACTGACGAGTGGCCAGAATGTAGGACATGACAAGAGCGTGTGCGCTGAAAGAACAAAGGCTCACCTATTTCAAACTGAATGTGAGAGAAAACTATAAAGAAAACTGAATACAACAATCTGTTTCAAAGAATTTTTATATACAAAGCACATACTAAGATGTCATGAACATTTATGAAAATAAATTCAAATGTAATAAAAATATATCCCATGTGTTGTCGTCTGGATAATTTTAGCTCGAGTGAGTCATGACCTTTCACTTGGATTCTTCCCGCAACAGAGATGCGAGCTCACGCACACAGAAATGCTGTAATTCTGTCTGTTGTTATTGTCCCAAAGAGGCTCGCTATGGCCTCCCGGTAAATAACTTAAACAGAATTCTATCTTCCTTTTGGCATCCAGCACTTTAGGAATGGCGATGTCAAATTCAAAGATGTCTGTCTGAGGCCCTCCGAAGCGTTTCTGCAGGTACGTACAGGACACATCTCTGTAGCTCAGCCAGGAGTCGAAGGTGATGCGTATTTGCACTTCCTTCTGGAAACTGATGTTCCTGACTCGCACGGTACCTTGAAGGGCCTGTTCAGTAACACTGCAGTTCTCCAGGATAACCATGCTCTCTGCCAGCTTGGCACGAAAGGCCTGGAAATCTGCAGAAGGCTGCGGGAAGCCCAGTTTGAGCCGCGTTCCTGGGCAGCAGGTGCTGACGGTGCAGCTGTAGCCGTACTCCGTCATGCTCCCCAAACCCTGCAGCGACGGCAGTAGGTCAAGGTCAGACTGCTGCTCTTCATCTGAAAACACCCGCACGGTTGTTAGAGATAATCCTCGAGAGTCAGCGAAAATCACGTGTTTGTTCTTGATTGGGAGCAAAACATCATCATCATCATCATCATCATCGTCGTACAAGTGATTGAAGAGAGATGGGAACGGGTGGGTCCGATAGGCCTGGCTTAAGATGTCAGAGGATAGCTGATCTGAAATTGGAGGACGGATGCAAGGGCGCTGGGGCTTCAGGATGGGAACCCAAACATGAGGACACAGTTGTTTACGTTGGTTCAAGCACAGCCTGACAGCAATCTCCGCAAGTCCTGCTGACTGGGCCATTGACCTGAGGCCGACCATGGGCAGCAGCCTTGCAACAGAAAAACAGTGATTTCAATAAAGACTGCTGCCCTGGAGGTGTGATTACACTTTTGTAATTACTGTAATTGTTGTTATTAAAGAGGTGCATTCACACGTGCATCACAAGATGAAGGTGATACTAAATATGTGATAATAATTACAATTTATCCCATTTTTGTTTTGTAACAATTGAAGAAGTGATGCGAGATAATGCGCCCCACAGCACAATCACTACACACTTAGTTTGCTTACGTTGTACTGGACATCTCCATACTGGCAGTCTGGTGTTGAGTGGTTGGAGTTCTAGAAAATAGAAAAAGTATTAATTATATAAGTATCACAATAGAGGGTATATGGATAAAGGTTGCAAAATCATTGGTGTAATACATTAAAAATAAATCTCAAATATGTTTTAAATACTTACAAACTTCTATAAGCAGCACGTTGTTATCTGTAGTCTTAGTTATCCCTTTGCCTGCAGGAAAATGTTGCACAAGATCCTATTTATACTACCTCAGTAGTATACTCCACCTTCTCTACTCTCCTGACCAATCAGCTACGTATTCTGGTTTTGTATATTAGTTTCAGACCTGGTTATGGGACAGATTTCAGATCATTTTCAGCAACATTTAACTTAAGAGCCCCTTCTATTCTAATTCTGTATTCGACTGTCAAGACAAAAACATGCGATTGTAAAATAAAGGTCTCTTCGTTGTCACCTCAAAACGGGGTCGTCCAGTGCTGACTAATCGATTGAGTGCATACAGGTCTGCCGTATGTAACTCTGCATTGTGGAAACTATCTAAGGCTCTATTCTCAGAGGATCCCAGTCACCCTCACCCCACAGTAAATCAGTATGCGTGACGCTCAGGAGGGTTAGGATTACAAAACGACTCAGCGTGCCAGTTACCTAACTGAGGCAGCTATTCGGGAATCAATCCAAGTACGTGTGCACATATTGAGTGACATGAAACCAAGTGTACCACACACGGAGACATTTTGGGGACTGAAAAATTGGTAAGAAGGGGTTCTACTGGTAAAGATTTGACTAATTAAGACTTGAAAGCTGAATGAGGTAAGGCAATGATGTTGGGTGATGGGTGCTGCAATAAAGAAATAATAAAATGACATACTTTGGTAAACATTCAATCATTTACAAGTGTATTTATTTTTCTGAAATCCACATTTTCAAGGTCTAAAAGATCATATGAATATGATCATTGAGACCCTCAGTGTATTATTGTTCATCTCACAATAACACTGGGTTGTAGGATTCCGTATCAGCTCGATCAGCAGTGCAGTTCAAAAGACGACAATCCGTTGACACGTGGTTCAGTTCTGCAAAGCTCGCTCTCCCCTCAGTCCCTGATTAGTTCCAAAAACTGGGCAATTTGTGTGAGGGCAAACAATGAGCACTGATTGCTCCCTTTGAGACTCTTACATAACAACGTTATTACAACGATTATGTCTCAGAGAAGACAACGTTCCACACTAAACTAAGCACACGCACACAAAAGACACTTTAAACTTTAAATGAAGAGATACACAGACGTTATCTGAACACTAATAGTATTTATGTTATTTACAATGACATTAATTCTTATTCATTTAAGTGTGAATGTCATTAAAAAAATGACGATCAAAGGACACCATGTATTTTCACTTTGGGCTGATATGCTCTATGATGCCGAGCAAACTGGTGACATTTCACCTTTGGGTGCACCTTGTTACTGAGCAGCAGAGGAAAAAGTCCAATAACGTGAGTCATCTGGGTAAAGTAACAGAATTAATTAGCAGATTAGTTGTGACAGGATTAAAAAAAAGATCCTAAAATAACAGCACAACACTGAAAACGCTGCTTTTGGTGAACAGGGTTCATTCGTCAACAAGCACCTCCCACAAAACAACCTCGTATTTGGTGTTATTTTAGAGTTACACGTCTTGAAGATATGGTGCAACAAATGTCTGTGTGTCTGTCCCGACGAGTTAGTCCTTCATCCTGACAACAGTGAGGAAGATGAGTGCAAATCCAGATGTAATCACCGCCGGTTAATGTTCCTCATTACCGCTATGTTACGGAAATAGGCCATTGCTCATTTTCTGACCTCCGGGAACCCAAAAACATCCGCACCAGCAGACAGACCCTGTCACAACGACAATGACTTTGTGTTAATCGTAGTGGATCGTTAAGCACCGTGCAGTGAAACGACAAATCTTCCTTATTGTACACATATTTTGGTTCTTAAAAGAGACATTCTTTCCATAATATGTTGCCAAGAGACGATGAACACTGCAATAAAAACAGAGAGCTAAAAATAAATCCAGATGTCACAGCGAAGCCGTTGCTTATGTAAGATCTGCAGCAATGAAATAGCAGAGATCAGTGCTGGAGGGTGCGAGGGCTGTGTTGAGTTAATGAGAACGATGACTCAGTCAAACTAACTCATCGTTACTTACCTCCGCGTTCATATTAACTGCACGGCTCCACTTGAAACAAGCGGCGCTATAGTTCGATACCGCATTAGATGCTGAGAGCCCTCTTCCAGATCTACAACGTACTCTCTGATAGAAGAGACAGCGTGGAGATAAGATCAGTCATTTTCAGAATCTATGCAAGAAAATGTAACAGTACCAAACGTGAGAGGGAGACACTGCCACCTAGTGGAGTTTAAAGAAAACGTACCTCTGATCGTCTGTTTCAGGCTCAACCAAGATGTTTTCCTGTCTCTCCTTCACTCGGAGAAACACGAAGGAGTCCAGGCCGGGCTCAGGGACTAAGATTACATCAGAGCACAGGGACTTAGCGGGACGGGCAGTGAAAATGTCAGAGCAAATGCCATCACCTGTAGTCCAGGCACAAATCATTCTAGTAAATGTCAGTAAAGATAAGAGATAACACAAGCAGGATTTTACCTGCTTTGAGCATATCCACTGTCTGCAGGTTGGGGGGCATGCGCTTCAGTGCTACAGCCTTCAGGTAGGTTTCTGTGTTGGCGTAGTACCTGTGTGCCAGAAGTGTTTTTAACCCCCCAGTGTCACAAAAACAGCAGAACAAACAAACAGCGGTGACCTCACTCTACGATACTCACTCTTTGGCAAAAGCGAACTCCTCGGGTGAGAGCAGGGACGGGTCTCCCTCCCCCCGAGACTTTTCTTTCTCCAGGACATGCGGGAAAAACTTTTCAATCTACACATACGTGGCACAAAAGATCAGGCGATTCTGTCAACAGGCAGTGAGTGAAACAAGAGCTGTATTCTAAACAGTTATATTGTTGACGTTACCGACCTTCTGCAGACGAGAGCGCAGGTAGCTGCTGAGCACAAAGCGGATCCGGTCTATTTCCATGCGATGGATGCTGGCCTTTGCGTCGCCTTTCTTCACCCGCTGCAAGTTGGCTTCCTGTTAGAGGAAAAGATCAGAGGACACTGTCAGAAATGAACATTTCCTTTCTTCAGGGTGACTGTAGAATCCAGTCATTCATAGATCTATACAACAACTTCAAATATGTTCGTCAAACCAAGTAATACAGACTACTTCCTGTTTCCTAACATACAGTATATGATGTAAACAAACACCACAGGTGGAATGTAACTAAGTACATTCACTCCGGTGCTGTACATTTTTTAGTAATACTGTACTTATAATACTTATTATGTATATGAAATGAGTACATGAGTATATGAAATTCATTCCACTTTGTTCTTCCACTCCACAACAGAGGCAAATATTTTGCTTTTTGCATTGTATTACTTATTCATTTGGGGTAAAGAGAACATGAATACCATAACAATGGTTGCCTACAGCACCACACTGTATGTGCTGTGTAGTGACATTTAGAAATGTAACGCTAGTCAGACAAAACAACCCACAGAGCTGGAGGTATTCCCCGTTTACCATGTGACTCAGCTGCTCCATCACACACTCCACCACCTCCGATTTGTTCTCCAGCAGCTCCGGTGAGAACTTCTCATTCAGCCAGGCCTGCAAGGGGACACAGAGGAGCACAGCTGTGAGGATACACTGTCTAATACGAGGCGCCATGACACTTGTTAACGGTGTTAACGTCAGTCTCACTTCTTCCAGCTTGGCTATCAGCTCCGCCGGGGTCATAACATCCTCCTGAGTGTCATCCTGGTTGACGACGTCCCCGCCGTCATCAGACAAAGCGTCCGACATAGTTCTCCTTTTACGAATAAACAGACAAAATGAAGAGCGTAACCGAAACGTTAACTTTGTGTTGAACTTTTTAAATGTTGAGCGATTCAAACGGCAGTTTAGGAAAGTTTCCCGAAGACCAGCAACACAGCAGCGTAAATTCACATGTAGGAAGTCCTTGTTTATTCGCGCCAATAGAGCTATTCTCGCGAGAGTAGAAATGGAATTACTTTGCCCTACGCTAGATCTGTAAGGCAAGATTCCTCACAGGCTGTGTTGGCGTGTGTACCGTCGATGAACGTTTAAACGAACTATGGACGGGCTATACATTCAAATACTTTACCTTATAGACAGTAAGGCTGGAGTTTCTAACATGGTCATTGGTGTCAGCTTCTGTAGGAACGGGATTTAACACAGCCTAAAAGTAATGAGAAATATGTATAGCTGATGAACACACACACACACACACACACACACACACATATACATACACACACGAAAAAAAAAAGATTTCTTCCCAGTCAAAACATGGAAACCGATTTCTCACAGACATTGCCAAAGTCAACATGCCATGTCTCCTCTGCACAAACTCGTCTCTTTCACCCTTGTGCATCTGTATGTGAATGTAACAGAGATGCATCATCTGCTTGGTTTGTTCCAGCTGTCTTGGTTCAAACCACGTTGTGGCCTGCAGCAGAATCTCATTTGTCTGATTTCCTCTTTTTCTTTTTCCTCCTCATTGCTCTTGCCTCATAATTCATCGTTATTTACATCAGTAGCCTAATGATCTTGCGGTCACTTTAGTGACGTTCAGTATTGCACAGTCTCTCTCAGTAGCTTCCTCTGGGCTTATCTGTGCTTCGTCAGACCTGCAGGGTTTACGTCAGGTTGCACCACAATATGGAGAGCTACTGTCATTTCATAAAGCAGATAAACAGACACCATTGCCACAGCTACCACGGCCATGCCCAGAAGAAAGGTTTATGGTCAAAAACATCATGAAGTTAAAGCCCGAGTGAATGCTGTGCTGCAATGTTTTCAGGATGGCTCAGATTTTTGGCTGCATGACTAATCGCTTACTTCAGAAAAAGGTTAGTTTTCTTTTGCTTGAATAGCTGTGAAAACAACATGAAAACACAGGCTTGTTCTGTCTATTCTGTCATAACATTGTGACTCCTGTACTTTATTTTCTTATTCTCTGATGACCTACTCATATACATGGAGCCCATTTGTTCCTGCATGTTGAAAACACATGTAAAACCATTCCTATAATACTGATGATGTCAATCACTTATAAATCTGGGGACAAATTCAAAGTTCAAATGGTCGACAAACTGATTTAAAAATCAATAACACTTAAAGACAATGTTTCTATTCAAAATGTTTAGGGTTATATGATGAAATGTGTTATGATATGGTATGAAGAAACATTTCTATAATTAAAAACAAAGGACCAAAGGTTTTTCATACATTTCTAATGTTTATTTTTGTCATTTTTCTGTCATAATTTCCTTACTCTCTGTTTAAATACATCCGCATGACAATGAGATCCGCTTATGGTATCTTTGGAAAACATCTAAACATTGATACATAGCTACAGTATTTATAAAGTAGCATTATGTTCAACAGACTTCACAATACAGTACAACAAGAAGGTTCTTTGCTTTCAACACAAAGTATTGAAATTGTGCAAGTGAGAACAAATGTGCAACAACTGTGGTTTTGTTTAGTTTAACTGGTTATGTTCAGGCCAGCTATTGAGAATTTGGCATAATCACAAAAATATATCATTGAACAAGCACTCTGCCTTTTTGTTTGGCATTTAATCATACTGTAGCAATATAACATAATACATACATTTAATAAGTACATTTTGCACAGTTCTGCTAAGAGATAGAAAATGATTCATCCGTTTTAAACACGATTGAACCTGTTTCTCTGTGATCCTATAAATACTGTATCTCTAGCCATCAATGCTGTGACTTCATTTCCCTTCAGCGTAGTTTGGTTTTGGGCACAGAAGGTCAACACAGTCACACAGCTAATGATCTTACAGTAACTAGATTACTACTGGGGGATGGCTGTGTGTGAAGCCACATCACCTAAATATTTCTGTGTTGCATATTTACGCCATGTGTAAAACACAAGTAGGGCTTCACCAAAATGACTATGAGCAATAGACAAGGAGGCCAACAAGCTCAATGGCTGCCTTCTACAGTCTAAAAACGAAACAAACTGCGCTTATGTATTATTATTATTATTATTGAAGTCTAGAGTTGAAATACAAAGAATCACAGCTTGTGATGGTAAATGGGATGCATGGCAGGTAGGGCATATCCAGTTTGGGGATTTAACAGAGGAATGGCGTAGGGATATGGGTAAACAGCAGACCCTATGAGAGCAGAGTGAACTGGACTCATCGGGACGTGTCGGTATATTAGCTGAGATTGAGGTAGTCTCATTCTGTGGGGGAGAAAAGCAGGGTGTAATAGAGGCTGGTGTCGGGAGTCTCTCCTTGATTTGTCGTAGCTCGACAGGACGCACGACACCGGCAGACTGGCGGTGGAATGGGCCAGACTCTGCTGAGTGGGGGGGACTTTCTGCTGCATTGTCCTGGATTTCTCCCTCTTCTCTGTCTGATAGAGCCACGGTGCCATGTTGTTCAGCTTCTTCGCACAAGTCGGAGACTCGTCCTGCTGCATATACCTGCCCTGCTGGATTTTATAAGCTGGCCGAATAGGAGCGGGCCGCAGAAGCTGCACAGATTTTGGAATAACTTTGGTGAAACTAGAGGTAGATGTTGGAGCCCAATCGAATCTCACCGTGGGAGAGGAGAATGACTGAAAAGGTTGGCTGGAATATTTGCCGCTCCCTTTGTGGATTGACTTCCAGTCAGAGTCTTTATTGTGGACCTTAATGGAGTCTGCTGATTGGGATCTGATGTCTTTATTCTGTCCTGCAGGGTCTTTGGATATCTGACTACAGCTCACAGACTTCCTTTCCTCACTACAGCTGGGTGTATTTTTCACAGAGCTGGTACAGTTTTGGGAAAGTTCAGAGCCTGATGCAGGATTATCTTCATTTCCTTCTGCACCGTCCTCTGATGAAACAGAGTAAGGGGAAGGGCTGCGTGAAGAGGAAGGGGATGAAGGCAGCGGGGAGCTGTCAGAGGAGTCACAGTTCCGGCTGGAAGAAGCTCGGGCCGGAGACTGGGAGCAGTGAATGACGGAGGGCCTTTCTTTATCCTCAGTGTGAGGATTCAGTGGCAAGTTAAGGCTCGCCTGAGCCATCCGCTTTTTTTTCTCCAGAGGAGAGATGACCTCTCCGGCAGCAGACGGGATATGAGCAGTCAACGGGCTGGATGTGGGGACCTGGACGAGGTGGGCATAGACAGAAGCGCAAAGACCGGTGGTGGCTCTGTTTGGCAGAGAGCAGTCTGGGCGATGTCTATCAGAGGTGGCGGCCCAGTGAGCGTGGTGAGGATGCATCACTGCTTCACTTTGGCAGGCAGCCTCTGGACTTCTCTGGGTGAGTATCTATAAAATACAGGGGATGTTTTAGGACACTTTATGTGCGAATACAGATTTATCTCCTTTGGAGACCTTTTCCTAAATAAAGTATATCTTACCTCTATCTCTGAGTCCATCTCTCTATCCGACTGAGTCATTTTCCTCTTCCTCTCAGTCTTGATGACCTTGCCATCCAAATTTCTCTTATATGGCTTCCGGGGTTTGCTTGGAGGCAGAGGTCTGTCCTCCTCTCCTTTTATTTGTCTTTCAAAGGGCAGCACCAGCCTAAACAAAACACATCTCTGATTATGAACCAGTTGATATCGTGCGTGATTTGACAGGTAAGTTTGAAACAAAATGATGCTCACTTCTCATAGTGTCTGCGAGTGCAAGTAGCAGCGCTGGTGCTACCTGGACTTCCTCCCAGCTCATCATACACTTTCTTCCAAAGACGCCGTGCGGTCACCTGTTGGATAACACAGTGTGAGAAAATGTGCATATGTAGCAACACGCGTCTGTAATGGTTACAACAACCTTTCATTTAAATGTAAGAGAAGTAGGAGACTCAGTGGCTCATCACTCCAGGTACCCTACACACTGAAAGGCTGCCTAATTTGTGACTGCCACCCGAGGGAACAAATCATAATTTATGGTATATTGCCTTATTCTTTCTTTTGTGCAGTTTTATACAGTAAGCGTGGATATAGGAAGTTCTTCCATTTGAAAGAAACTGTGGTGATCAGATATTGTTTGAAGCTTAAACTTATCTTATACCTATTTGTATTACTCTTAATTTAAATTGTTCACTTCTTTTATTTAAATGTGTTTCAATGTTGTTGTGCACAGGGGATGTTTTGGCCCAAGGTGTTCTCTCTCCTTGAGTCAATGAGAAGTCTGCTGGTTTTCACACTTTCATTTTTAAAAGTAAGTAGGCGGCTTAGGTTGTGTCCACGCCCTGTGACACAGAGGCAGCAGTGATGGTGGTGGTGAGGGTCAACCCAGTTTAGAGCCCCAGCCTCGCATGAGCTGCACGCTTAGATCTTGTCCCACGGTGTCAACATCAAAGACAACAGAGCAACGAGAGCTCGAGAGCAAAATGTCCTCCAGTGTGGTAAAAACACTTTCCACTTAGAAACCTGCAAACACACCGGTCAAAGAACTATGAACTATAGTCAAATTAAGAACTTGTACTCACTGAATCATAGCCCCCAAGTTTCTCAACAGCTTTGAAGATCCTCCAAAGATTAACTGGGGAAAAAGACACACATAAGAACTTAATTTGTATTCAATGTGAATAATGTGTTCATTCAACATCAAGCACTGTGCTAATGAACATCAACTCACTCTGTTTGAAGCCCAGATGTGGAATCCTTTCTATAGGAGTACATCTGTCCTTCATAAAAGAGTGCAGACTTGATACAAATGCCTTCTCCTCCATTAGCACTAGCTTGGGCCTCGCTTCTTCTTCACATTCAGTCATAGAGTCATAGAGGATCTCAATGACAGAGGGAGAAGCCTAGTGTGGAGAAAAACAGGTGCAGTAGAGAAGACATGTCAAATGCTTTGCATGGAAATCAAGATGCTCAATATTACATGATCCTCTGCACTGATATAGAAACCAGTTTTACAGAGATGGGAAAGAAGACACACAGAGTCATCTCATGGGATGACAAATGTTAAAATGAAACATCAAAATCAGTGAGGAGTAGGGTTCTACCACTACTTTCAATAGATAACCGCTACACATCCTGTCTGGAGAGAAAGCAGCAGACTTGTGGGGTTTTTGGTCGAGAGTTGTCAAGTCGCCGGTATCACAAACGTCACTTTGTAAAACAAGCATAAAGCCAAAAGAATGTTTTATATATTAAAGTGTTTTAAACAAACTTTGAATAAAGTTGCTGCTTTGTGTTTCTAAGTAATAACTGTCTGCATGTTTGCTTTATTTCTGTGGAGCTAGTTTAATTAACAGGGAGGAGGACTTTAAGATACCAAGAAATTAGAAGTGTCAAGTGTTACAACTACCCAGAACTTCAGTGTAAGAAATTGACAATGTCACTATTTGTGGTTTGCAAGAAAGGAGAAATGAAACAGTGAAGACAAGCAGAATCAAAATCAGCCGTTAGAAAGGTTTCAAGACGAGAAGTATAAAACTAAAGTATGAAGAAGGAAACTGTTGATGAAGATGATCCAGTGTCTGAATATTTAACACAATGATGTTGTTGTTGTACAGCTTTAAAAGTTTGATTTGTGCTTTTAAGTTATCTCCTTAAAACAACTCAACCTTATTGTTTTTTGATGTGTGTATACAGTGTGTGGTGTAGATAAATGGTAGTTGTCAGTTTTTTACTGCAACAATATTATTCCCACAGCACAAACACTCACTTCTGTTATTTCATGCCAATATTTAAATGTGAAATCTCACATTGCGTGTTGTATCGATCAATTTCAGTAGATTGGATGTCAAAAGAGGCCACAATGGACAGTGTCAGTATCTTACTTTGAATCAGCACACGGAGAAGCGGCTTTATTTCTGTAGCAGTCATTGTTCAACAAATCAGCTTGACGTGGTTTCATATTGAATAAAGTTCCTCTATGTGGTTCCTGGTTCCGAGAAGTAGGCCTCTAGAGTGAGTAATAGTGAAGGTGCAGGCCTCTAACCAAGATTACCCTGGCTGAGTCACAGTTCAGCGGCTCCACAATGCTGTTCCCAGCCAACAGCTCTGACTTTCCACTTCTATATCACCTGCTTTTCCCACTGCAGATATTAGGTTTCCACTCAAAATGTCTCAAAATCATATTTGACACATTTTAATTGTCTTGATTGGCTGATAAAAATGGAACTAAATTATATTTGCACCCGCATCTAAAATAATAAGAAGGTTGTCCGAACGTTCAAATTGAACATTTTTTTGCTTGGGATCTTACATAAAGTTCACAGGTATTCAGTAACTTTCAGTCGCTGTTTTCAGATCTGATTCACAAAACTTGCCAACAGGAAACGTCTGCACTCGAAGCCACACTGTAGACCCTTTGCTGCAGATCTCACTCTGTACACCAGAGTGTGAATATCATTGAGGCACATTCAGTTGATTTCCGCCAGATACATTTATTTGGAAAACTGAGTGGGTGGTGTTGATGTCAATGTGTCGATGTGTGATTCTCACAATAATTGTCAGTGGCGTGCTGTATTGATGCTATCGGCAGGCCACAAAAACCACCAGGCTTTCAACTAACATCAGCCTTGGAAATGTGATGAGCTAATTTGTGTTTCTCATATTGTACCTCTCATTTCACTTACCAGAATACTGGCTTGTGAAGACCTCCGGCAGTTTCTGTATGTGCAATGAAAATATTGTGGTGTGTCTCATGGGGCGAGATGTGCGTGCGTTTCATTGGCCCTCTCAGGATACAAAGCAGAATCACATATTCCTTGTTACTCATTTCACAATAAGCCATCAAGATGAAACAACTGTACTCACACATTCAGCACTTGAAAAAAATTGGCCACTATCTAAAATTCACAAAAAAAAAGGAAATGAAAACACAGCTCACTCTGAGCAGTCATGTCTGTAGTCACTGATTAACTGTAACGGATGGAAATTGCCCAGACTGCTGCCAGAAGGCCAACTGACATTTAATCAGCAGTGACTGAGGTTAGTACCTGGCTCTCTGTCCCCTGCTCTTCGTCGCTGGCTGCTGTTTGTTGTGATGTCTCACTCTGGTCCTCTTGCGCTTCATGAGACACACAGCAGGGACAAGGCATTTAGCATTTAACTCCATAAGACCATTGTGAATTTGATTTCAAAGAACCACAGTCAAGGGAAGCAAATACTGGTAAACGTTCCACGTTGCAGAAACATTAGCAGGTTAAAAAAGCATTAAAGCAGAACGTCATCACTGCTGGGAATGTAGTTGTTTTATGTAATTTAGGTAATGGTCAGATGATTGATCAGCACAAAAACTAGAAATCTGTAGAACATATTGTCAACTGAGTCTGATATAAAACCACAGTTTGCAAAACCACTTCCTGCTCACGAACATAACCACTTGTATGCTGTACTGTATGATATTGTAATACATAATGATTGGCAACGGTGAGATAATATGAATCCATAAACTGCAACATACATTAAACATAATAATTCCTTGTATTTTGTTAAGTGCACATAATAGTACTGTTGGTACTGAAATATGAGATATTGAGAAACACTGCATTTGATTGTCACGCTTCAAGCTTCTCTCAATATTAAGATGGTATTAATGCATTTTATGAGGGAAAGTGAAATTGAAGACCACAAGCAATGAAATGTGATTCTTCACAAACTGTCAGCTCCAAATCTCTTATAGCCCTCCACCCACAGTCATATTGTGTGCAAAACCAATATGCTTCTCTTTTGAGATCACTTATTTCCTGTGCTGCTTGAACCTTTAATTCTGCTTTCAGTAGCCTCTAACTACTCCATTTCCTGTGTTGAGGAAATGTTTTTGTTATACTGTATCATTTGTCCGTGCTGTTAATTTTCATGGTTTTGTTTCTTTACCAATTAACAAATGCATTAGCTACGGTGTTTTCACCAGATACTGATGTCAGTCAGAATATTGTGATAGATTAATTATAGATTCCTGAGGCAGTATATGATTTTCTAAGTCAAATTAGTCGGTTTATTTCACAAATGAATGTATTCACATTACTTCTGTAAAAAAGAGAGCTGGTACAGTTTTTCATATATTGTTTAAAGAAGGTAATTTAATGTTATGAAGTGTAAATATTTATCAAGATCACTATCCAAAATGATACAGTATTTAATTGCTTGCAGTAAATACATAAGGTAGTACAACAAACAAAAAAGTCCTTCTTACCCATTTCCAGAAGTTGTCTTCTAGTCTCTGGCTTGATAGAGCTTTGTGACAGTAATTCATGCGGCGTCCTCTTCAACTTCACACCACAAAACAGGAAGGTGTCTCCACAAAACAGTTTCATTGGTTGTGCTGTTTGCATTGCAGCAAATAAGTCTGGGAAACTGAGTTTGTTTCTTCGTCACTCAAGTCTCACAATGTCTGTTCTCCATTTCATCACCTGAATTTCAGACAAAAACCGACAACGTCTGTGTTCAATTATTTGTTCTTTTTCTCAAGTTTCAACAGAATCTGATGCTATGCTAAATAAGGAGCTTATTTCATATTTCCAGATAATTAAATATGAGGAAATTAAGTCTGTCTTATGTTTCCAATGTTGTTAGCAGTACATTGAACTGTAATGTCATTACTGTTTTTCCATTACTATTTTACACATAATAAAATTATATCACAGATGAGACTAAAAATGTCTTTATAGACTTTATATTAGTTCAACAAAGTTTGTGATTTCAGCCTGGTCACCTTCAGTGTGTAGACTGGACTCAAATACACCAAAATAGCTGAATTTAGAGAAGTGAAAGAAATCTTCAACTGATGCCCAAATGGAGGTTTAAGTGTGTAAATCTATGAAATATTCCAGATGTATACATCCTTAAAACAATGTATTTTAAGATTTCATTCTCAAAAAAGGGAAGCAAGGCTGTCCCACTTACTGCCAATGCACATCATTTCTGATTAGGCATCAAATATTTCTTGGAGCTGCCTAATTATTTATGAACTGTTTGTAACACAATGAACATGATAAGGGGAATCCAAATCAAATGCTACAGTTTTGTTTTCATAAATAAATGTGTGTTCAGCACGGAAATTAATATTGATTTTCGATGTACGTGTAATAATTGTGTGATAATGTGTGTAAAGGACAAACATTTCCTGCTGTTAAGAACATCTTCTGAAGTGGTATAACACAAAGCATTGAATACAATGAGTAAGCATCATTTGAAAACGTCTTGTTTCCTAATTTTATTATGAGGTTGTGATGTCACAGTGTCCTGCAGTCCCTGCATTAAGGTGAGAAGATAAACCGCTGGTTACTCTTTCATTTTTACTTAAGTGTATACATATTGGTTGCCATTAAGTGTATCATATTTAAAATGAAATCCAAATTGTAATCCCTGACCCGAGTGTGAGATAGTAAATAAAGCTTTAGCGTAAAAAGCAGTTTTGACTCATTACAGCTAAAAGCTGAGTAAACACATACTCTCAAAGCTCTCATTTCGGTAAATGAAAGTTTTGAGACTGGCTGGTAGCTTCAGGGATTATAGACCTTACATTTTAAGGAAGGGGTGAGGACCTACTTCTTTAAAATGGTTCCTACCGGCCATTGCCTAAAAATATTGGCTAAAAATAAAATGTGAGACAATGCGGAAGCAGCTTTTTCAAGTGGAGTGGTAAGAAAACAATCGGCTATTTCTCTACTCCCTGTTATGAGTCAAAGGGAGTCGTCTCAAGAGGTTATGTTCCTTATGGCCATGTGGACAGCACCAAGGTCAAGTTACCTTCCTAAGGATTTCACGTTTGATTAAAGAAGACAGTTGCTCTTCTATTTTTTTACATTTTCAGGTATTTTCAGTGGTCACATTAAAATACTACTGTATTTTCCCTCCATTTTCCTTTGTCAGCCCCCCACTCAATAAAAGGACACGATCTTGTGATAAAAACACTGACGGATGATGAAGCTGCACTCGACACCATCCACATTTCCTCCCCATGTTTTTGATCTAGTTAAAAGGGGATGCCCTATTTCCCCATCTGTTGCGGATAGAGTATGACATTTCAAAATGATTAACATTTAAATGTCAAAATAACCAAATATCTACAAACTGTCCAAATCTCAAGAGGGATTTTTTTTTGGTTTGAAAGACACAAAACAAGTTTTTGTTTTTCCTTTTTGAGTTTCTGCACTAGGCGCGCTGCAAAAATGGAAGAGATGTGATCGTAAACTGTTTATGTTCCCACACCTCCCCTGTGAATAAAAGATGTAGATGTGAAATATAGGAATACAAAATTAAATCTCGATTAGATATCCGATTCTTATCGACACAGTGAGAAGTGAGACTTCATGGGGCAAGACTGATCTAATGCAGAAATAAATAAATAACTTGTGTGGTGATGTTTGAACTACAATAACACATTTACAGTTTATGTCTTACATGAGGCTTTATAGGAAATTGAATTCAATATCATTTAATTGAGTGTTTTGCAGAACTCAATTCTATCTCCTGCAGCCGACAACAAATGTAGAGACGATGAGCAAAAACATCGGTTATAAGATCGAGAAAGTCCCCAGCTATTCATTTCAGACTTTCACTGAGATAAACATGAGGTTGAGATGAGGGCAGCACAATGTAAATGACAACTTGTGGAGAAAATATTGTGAATTCAACACAAAAGATTTCCCGTCTGAAGTGAGTCACTATCCTGGGAACAATCTGCAAATGTTGTGAAAAGTGGTGAGTATGATTCCAGTCATGGTGAGAAACAGTCATTAGCAGAATGAGCTTTTTCCCAGAATTAATGGGTTTAAAGACGCACCCTGTTGTTTCAGGGAGAAGTACAAACTAACAGAAGTATATCTGCAATCATGAAAAGCAGAGGTGCAAGTCATAAACAGTGAGAGTGAATATTTTATATATATATATATACACACACGTGGCGTTTCTAGAGGGCGTAGGTTTGTGTGGATATTTTTATAGGTCGATTCATTTAGTTACGAGCTAATATCAAATTACATTTAAAGTCTAAAATTGAATATTTGGGAACTATTAGATGGATGGGTGTCAAAATGCATGACATTCTTTTGCAGGAGGACTTTAATGAAACACTAAAGGCTAATTTCAGTTTGTTTCTTGAGTAATATCCAGCAGAAAAGTGTGATTTCCACAATAAAAGATTAGCAAGTGATAGTAAATGTCTTAAACACAGTGAAAATCCAACATAACCTCTGCGATTACTGATGGAGATAGACTGAATAAAAATATATATTTTATACAGATTTGTTATGTATTTATTTAAAATTGTTGGAACACATATTTTGCCATTCAGCCTAGCAAAGATTTAAATGAAGGATGTGGGAGACAAAATCAGATTTTTCATGTGAAAATGAAACCTATGCATTAGAGGTGAATTCCCCAGCTGTTACCTCATTCCAGGAAACAGATTGTCGAGCACATACCGTGTCTGTGTATACGTCTGAGTTCCTGTTAGACCTCTGAAAATCCCTGAAGGTTCGCCATGTTATCTCAAGCTTTTTTTTAAATGAATGCTGCCTACGATATGCTCAGCCTCTCTGAAAAGATGTGACAACACGACTTTGGTTATTTATTTTATTATGAAGAATGTCTGTGCATTACAATAGACTCTGGAAAAAAATAACAATAATGCAATGGATACATGATGCCCTTTTCTACTCAATATAATTCATTTTTCCTTTTATGGACTGACCTCAAAGCTTAAAAGAGCAAGAATTTTGTTCCATGATATAAACAGTGAACATGGAAATTCTCATTTAAAATGTCACTGCATTCACTTCCCGTCATAATGGCACCGCAACAGCACAAATGACTTAGAGATCTGTAATGCACTCAAATTCAACCTCAGACCAGCGAGATCCACACAAAGGAAAATAATGCTGACTTTGTTTTCTTCTCGTTAGCTTGTCCTTGAAATGTTAAATATGTTGAAATAATCTGGTTCAGATGGCGAATGAATGAAAACCATAAAAAGTCAGTTAAAGGGAACTGAACCGTTTTATGCATTCCCCACTAAATCCACCCAGAGCACAGCAAACATAATCTGGTTTGTTTTAAATAGGTACTAAAACATGGTTCAAACACATAAAAAAAGGAAAGTTCAGTCTGCCAGTAAAGAAAGGCAAAAACAAGGCAAAGGATTATACTGTAGCTTGTACCGCCATCTTTGATTTTTTATTTTTCTTTCCTGAAACGTACAGGAACATTTACAACTAAATTATACCTGAAATAGAACTGAAGTCACTTTGTAAGGAATGTGAACGAGAAGTGTTGTTACTACTGAAGTAAAGACTAAACAAAGGCTGATTTTGTACTGCATCACATTTATAGGAAAAGAGATGTCATTTGGGGGGGAAGTGGGAGCATTGGTCCGACTTTGGGTCTTCACAATTCCCTAAACTATGATATCAGTTGCTCACAACATCAACAATTTAATAGAATTGCCTTCAAAAAAAGACGAGATTTCAAAAGCTTCTGGCCCACCATTACCATCCGTCCATGATGTGGAGGATCGCAGCTCACTTGTTTGTGAGGACCGACTGTGTGTCGTTTTACTGCAGATGTCCTCTGGGGCTGCCAGTGTGATAATATGGGGGTATGGGTGTGGGTGGGGGTTGGGGGTGTGGGGGGGCTGGGCTACATAAGCTCCACGTAATTGGCTGGGAACATTCCAAAATGGCCATTTGGGCTGTAGCCGCGCCACCAGCCCTCGTCTATCATCTCGATCCCGGTGATGATGTCGTCGGGATCGAATGAGACCTCCGTGTCATCAGCTGGAGGAGAAGAGCAGTGTCTCGTGAACGTCAGACAACATTTTCAATGGAGACGCACCGATTGTAATTTTCTTGGTCAATTCACGATAAATTAAAATAAAGTCAGACTTGCATATTTTCTTTCTTTCTAAGAACTAAAGTCGACAGCATACACAGATGTTTTTGTTAAGTTGCAGGACCTTCTCTCACTCAAACAAATCTTAAAGTTGTCCCAAATGTCTTTAAGGTTGTTCATCCACAACTTATTATGGACTCGCAAGTGTTACAAATTGCGAGCTTTACGTCTTTTTCACTCACACTGAATAACTTCCACACCGGCGACATGATGTGTGTGTGTGTGTGTGTGCGCGCATGTGTGGCTGTGACGTGTGCCGCTGTGTGCTCAGAAAAATTAAGTATGAAGATCTAAGTTTCTGTGTAAAGGGGGCACATCCGATCTAAAACAGGCCGTTAAGTTGCTCTTTAATATTAGTGACAGTTACTTGACCAATCAGGAATTAGTCCATTTACTCCTACGGTGTTGTGATTAAAATAAAAATAGAAACTCACCAGCCTGGTAGTCATACAAGGCTCTGGCACAGGTGCCTCTGTCTGGTGTCTCCTCAGCAGTCACCTCAGCAGTCACCTCATATGAGTTGCTCTCCTCCACCTGGGAATGGAATCAATTTAAGTTTTTTTTTTTTTGTAATTAATAAATAATAAAGTTGGATATAATAAAGGCCCTGCTGGGCTGGCTGCACATACAGAAGTGGTTTGCTATGGTATGTGGGCTACACAGCTAGCATAATTAGCATAGCATAGCTCCATTTCATTATCTAGCTATTTATCTACATTGTATGTTGCCATTCACTGTGCGACCACTGAAAAACTGCCCAGCTTCAACAGGACGACTTTGATTACTGCTTGTAGACTTGCACTATTTGTTAGCTGGAGGTGTGTTGCTTCGCATGGGTAGGATGTTGCTCCACTTTCTCAGCTATAATCTATCAGTTGCTTGATTTGAGCTACCTCTTTTATATAAAAAACAGTCAGTAAACAATCACCTGAGCAGGCTCTTCACAAGGCGTCTCTTGGACGTAGGAGTTGGCAGCCAGTGTCTTCTCTGAAAAGACAGATTACCATCAGTATGACGTGTCGGGGCTGTCTACCTACCAGCAGGTGGCAGCAGCACCAGCTGATCCTGACAGCACCATTTAGCTGCAGGGAATAATATGTGCTTATGACAAATCACAAAACAATGTATATGAGAAGCAGATGGGTGGGTTGGAAAGCTGATGCTCAACACTGAGGGTGGTGTTGTGTGAAATGGGCCCCACCTTCACATTGCTCCTGGGGGGTCACCTCCTGCTCATCATACTCACACCTGGACTGTCCATCATCCACATCAGGCTCTTATCACCCAAAACACAAGCACAGACATGCATGTACACAGGGGAACACATTCACAAGTCCACACAGGCCGGACACAACCACCCCTCTCAGACATAAGGGTTTTGGTGTCATGGTGCACTTACAACAAAACAATAATCTGAAAGTTTCTTAGGAAACAAGAAGCACATTGAACGGAAGCATGACTCATGATGCAATTTGTGATTATAAGGATTATGAAGATGATCACACACAGAAACAACAATGACAAATGAAGCTTTAAGTTAAGTATGAGACTGTCACCCAAAATGTAGTGTATGCATTTTATATGTACTAGTTTGTGTGTGTGTGTGTGTGTGCATGTGAGAGCTCACACCTGTGGCGCGGACAGGAGAGGCGGAGCCTGCTGGCACAGGAGAAGCTTGGCGCTGAGGTGAACTGGCTCGCTCACTTTCATACACTGGCTTAGACAGAAAAGGGCTTTGCAGACGCCCTGAGCAGAGACGCGTATGGAACCCCCAAATCATGCAAAAAATAAAAAAAACATAGTGCAGACCGGTTGAACGGAAGAAGAGCAGACACCATGATGGAGACACAGCGTTAGGTATGACTATGAGACAACTAGGCAGTCTGATGGAAAGTTAAAGCTCTGAGACAGACCGTGTCGGGAGGAAATCTCCTCACCCGGTTTGTACTCTCTGCTAGCTGAGAGCGAGGCTAAGAGAGCTTTGCAGTAATGCAGGAAGGGCTGTGACATTTAAAGCAAACACGGCATATATGGAGAGGTCACTGTGTATGCACGGCTGATACCTGGCTGGGGACTGGCAGGGGCAGCAGAGGGAACGTCTGAGTCACTGGGAGTTATTCCCCTCTCTCTCTGCTTGAACATCTCTCTGGGGTTCATAGCACGCTGAGAGATGAGAGAAGCCGCCTCCTAGAAAAAAAGAAAGAAAAGGAAAACAAGAAATACATGCAATAAGCATTAGACAGCCGCAGGTTATTAATAATGCAGTGGGAAGTGTTGCAGAGAGAAAAACTACAGGATGGACAGATGTCGTCGTAAATGATCGCAGAGAAAGGAGAGCTCATGCAGCAAAGAGTGGGAAACAAGTGTTACATTGAGCTTCAAAGGGTTCCCATTTGATTAGAAAGACACTTGTTTTGAAATAGGCAATAAAGAGGAAAGTAGATCGGCCAGAAGAGAGCGCTTTCAGGAAGGGGAACTCACATTGGCCTTCTCCACAGATTCACCTCTCTTGATTGCTTTCTTCTGGGCCGCCTGGTTCTCCTCCTCCTCCTCCTGATAATGTCGATATCAATGTTGGCACGGCTGACATTAGCTACCTTACCAAGATGTGTGCACTACCAAAACTTAGTTAACTATCAACATAGTCGTAGATAAGTGGGTAGCACTCAATGTGAAATATAAATTTCACACCGATCCACATTCACCCTCATATTAGCATCCGAGTCCTGATATCCGTCATGTTACCTCACAGTTGAAAACCATTTACTCAAAGTGAAACCTTGTGAGACACTCACCGAGCGTTTCTCCTGGTCTTTGCTCTCAGGGTCCTGCTGCTGCTGGTACTTCCTATTCAACAAAAAAGACCATTTAGAAGACGAGAAGAAGCTTTGTAATTTGAACCCTTTGATTAGGTGATACTTCATCACGGATTAGGTGATACTTCATCACGGTGTTAACCGGTGTGCATTTCCTTCAGCTTCGACCTACTTTTGTTGGTCGATTATAGTGGCCCTCTCCTTGTCCCTTTGGTCCCTCTGCACTGTCTCCTTGGCCTCTCTGTCTTTCGTCTCCTTGTCCAGGTGCTGGCGCTGTTCGTCCTCCTTGCGCCGCTCCTCCAGGCGACGTTTCTCCTCTTCTTTCTAAAAGACAAGTCAGACAGCAAGGTCAGCGACGAGGTTTGGCATCTTGCAAATATTACAGCCATTATTTCGCAATAGTTTATCTAACAAAACTGCAAGGCAATGAGCACCGCTTTCTGGGTGTATTTGTGACAGGTGTGGTGATGAGCAAAAACTGCAGACAAAGGACCAAGTTACAAGAGTGCTTTTGCTGACTTACATTCGTGATGGATAAAAACTGCCTGCATTGTATTTTTTATAGTCTTTTAAAAGAAATGTCAAATGTTTCAAAACTGCAAACTCGTGCAATATTAAGAGTTCTTGCAATTTCAATAACATTTCTAGATAATTTTTTTTAAGGTATTTTTGACACAGAGGTGAAGTTGAAGTCTGCAGCAGCTTAATAAGTTCAGGAGCCTACCTCTGCTTGAGCCCAGAAGTTGCCCTTGTTGGTCTTTTTGATTTCGGACATGGCGTTGGTCTTCTGGTACACTGAGCCCTACATGAAGGAAACGACAACTTGATACCATTGTGATAAACATTTTTACATTATAAAAAGAAAAACTAAGTACAGTGGGATCCAACTATGAGAACAGCTTGTCAGCATATTTAACCTAAACCTAACTCATCCCTTTTCTTTGTTCATCATTATTCAGTCTTCATTGTCATTATTCATTAACTGGATAAAAAGGTTAACGTTTATCTTCTCTCTAACTTTTAATAACTATCAGATATGAACCAATGGTTGCTTTCTTTTGTGTGGAGAACATTGATGTAGGCCAGCATTTTCCAGGTTTTCTCCTTTGGAGAGTTTGTTTGTTGAAACTTGTTTCCAGTGGGAGAGCTGCTTGAGTGTGTATGGTCATAACAAAGAAGTAAAAACAAACATTTCAAATGTATCCATGTCTTGAGATTAAGGAGCCTAGTTAAGATCTAACCCTCTGCTTATCTTTCTAGCATGAAACATAAGCGAACAGGAGGGCACAAGGCAGGAACTGCATGCGCTGCATACCACTGGACCCTGAGGACCGCTGTCCTGGAAGCGGCTGGAAGATTCTTTGTGGAAGCTGAAGTTGGCTCCGGAGGCGTTGCCCACTTTTTGCATGATCACCTCGGGCTCCACGTCCTCTTCTGCTCTGGCGTTTATTGTGATATGGGCCCCCTGAAACACCATTCAATAAAAGTTCATTTTAATGCTCGCACAAATAGAGAAACACCTACAGTTGTTATCTTGATTTATGCATGCGCCACCCAATTGTGTGCTGTTTGCTGATATGATCTGAAGGACGCTGACACCCATGATTTCTTTGTGTTTAGTCTAGCTCAAAACCATCATTAACATGCAGACTGGCCTACATGCAAACAAACAGATTGTAATGTATATTCGAAAAATAGACTCAAAAATTGGTGCAATGTTACCCTAAGAAAATTGGCCATGGAGCTGACATGGTTTGCACATAATCCTTTCCTGGCGTCTTTCACTCCTTCTCCAGTCTGAAACACAAAGAATGACTCTTCCAAGAGGGACACTTCAAAGAAGACAAACAAATGTACAATAGTTAAGTGGAGCACAAACCCAGTTGATGAGGACATATTTAGGCAGGCCAGAATTTGGATCCTGGACCCGGCAGAAAGCATACATCACTTTTCCACTGTTCAACTCTTCAACCAACTCCTCCAGTCCTCCATCTGACAAATAAACATTGTGGAAAAGTCAAATGGCTGCTGTGGTTGGTTGTGTAACCGTGGGCATTTTTCTTCTAACAAATTATGGGGTGAGAAAGCAGCGGCAAGCATTCCTTTTGTGCTGACGTTTCAGTACTGTATGCTGTACTGAAATGTTGACTGTGAAATTCCTGCACACATTTGATAACATCGCGTTGAGACCATAAAACCCCGTTAACAATATCTACTCAGTTACTCACCTCCCTTTTCTGCCAGGCGGATATCATTACTGTTTCCCTCGTAGGTGAACAAGGCCCTGTGAAAAACAGGATTAAGGATATTAAAATACCAGCTAAACGGCTCACACTGAGACAGACAAGGGTTTAGTTCCAGAGGTTGATGTGCAACATTTGATACGAAACAATGGAAGTTTTGTACACAGATTTTATCTAACATCACCCCCAAGCTAAGCCCTATTCCAACAGGATACATTTTACACAAGTATGGTAGTGTCAATACAATACTGCTGCCATTTTAAAACTAATTAAAATCAGCCATGTTAGTCATTTTTACAGGTTATAGCTAAATTGGTTGGTTGTTTCAGTAAGTTTATAATTTAATCTCTGGCCTTTATTGTTGTATTACAGTACCGAGTAATATAACAGCCAGTAATATAGTCAGGGTTTGGCTGGGCCGATCCATTTATTTTAGGGCATCTGCGGTTTTTCCTTTCCTTCTGTTTCTTGTATGGTCTCGTTTGTCCTTTCTCTGTTTGGGTATGTGTGTGTGTGTGTGTGTGTGTGCGTGTGTGCGTGTAGCACTCAATTCTCTCCTGCTGCCAATCAACCTGCATACCTGAGACCCATCAAGCTCCTGCTGTACATCTATCTCAGCTCTACACTCCAATCTTTGCCAGAATGTTCAGTTTGCCTACTAGGTACTGACGCAACAACAACAGTTTGGTCTGAACTCAGTTAATCTAGTGTCTTCCTGTGTCCCAGGTTACAACGTCACACAATTATAGTCAGGACTGACTATTAGAGGATGAGGGAGGGATACAACTATAATTTGATATAGAGCTGAAACAACTAGGTCAGTGCCATGAAGTTAATATGCAACAATTTCAATAATTGATTATCATTTCAGGGATTTTTCCAAGCAAAAATATCCTCAATCTGTATGGATTTAATGCTTTTCTTTGTTGTAAATGATTGGAAACTGAATATCTAATATTGGCATTTTTCAAAACAACTGTTCCATTAATACAGAAAATAATCTGGGGATGAATTGATGAAGAAAGTCTTTATTTGCAGCTCTAATTCAATAGCAAACAATTATGGTTGCAAATAATATTCCAGGCCTTCGGGTCTTACTAAATAGAAAACCATAGATGCTCTGGTTTTGCCTCAGTACTACACAGACGAATCATCATTTGGCCTCATCTCATACAGAAACGTATGAGATTGTGTTATTGTCATGCAACTAGGTGATATGACTACATTGTAATTTACATGAAAATTACTTTAGAAAAAAAAAACTATAGAAACAGCAAGGTGGCTGTCCAAATCACAGCCTAAAAAGAGACAACTTTTAGGACTGAATATATTCCCTGGACAATTGCCTCGTTTGCCTCGCAACACACACTTCTGTAACGTGAGGTAGCGCCAAGAGGAAGTTCCTGGATATGACTTTCACATGTTGGCCTTTTTAACTTCTGATATCTTACCAGGAAGTGGGTGGTGGTAGCCATCAACCTATTAATCCAATTTCATGACAAACTCGTACAAATAGTTTAATAAAATACAGGCAAGACATGACTTAGACGAAGTGTTTAGCCCGTTGGTTGGTCAGTGTACCTAGCTGATTAACAATATTAGTATTAATATTAATACTAGCTACCGTTAGGTTACCGTTAACTTAACGTTACTTGACGAACAGCTCAATGCTAGCAAACACTGAAGCTGACATAACGCCTCCTACACACGCGCTAGTGCTGTTTTTGAAAAGACTGCTCCTTACCAGTTGGTGTTGGATTTTTCATCTACCACTTCTTTGAATGCAGATGTTAATGCGGGGCCATTTTTGCTGAGATTAACTGCCATCGTTGTGCGGAGTACAGCTAGCCAGCTAGCTATCCGGGATGCGCCCTTCCTATTGGGAGGAGTGGCGATGACGCTGACTTTCAGCTGTGCAGCGATGGACTCGTTGTAGCTAGTGGCTACATGTTAGCCACGGAGTCCTGCATATTGTGTAACGGGACACTCCGCCAGCACGGAGCTAGTTTGCATTTTTTTTAAATTGAACTCGGCCATTGTATCTGCGCAGTACAATTTCCGAATACTTATTTAGATTGCACAACATTCTGACTTTAGTAAAGTGAGAAATAAGAAAATACCGGTCTGTACAAAGATGATGCTGTCTGCACCGCACAGACCCCGCTTAGGAGCTCACTGAATTAAACGCACCCTAGAGCAGTGTGCCGATGTAAAAATTAGTAAAATGAGGGGAAACATTGGAAGTGGAGAACAAAATCAGTACACGTAGCTGTACGATATTCGCTTAACTTTTAGCTTATTGACAATTGTTTCTGGTTATTTCTAGTCATCCACTCCTTTAATACCATCAATTTGTATTACATCATAAAGACACAAAAATGACTGCAGACAACGGTAAACCAAGATGAGCTTTATTTATGTTATGACAAGGTCAATAGTTATCTTGTGTAGGCTATGTGAGGACAAGTGGACGTTCATGGTGGCATTTCAAGCAGACATATTCCAAATTTTGAGATGCATGAAGGCTGGTCCTGCTGTCAAGAGAAAGCCAGGCTGTCATTTTCAACAAAAATATTGTTACCGTTCAAGCAGGTTTCCATGTCTTTTGATGAAATGAATCACCCATTTGGGGGATACAGCCCTGATAGCAAATTTACAGTTCATGACAATGTTTTCTATATATATATATATATATATATACAAAATGAGGGTTAAGGCTAAAATTTTAGTCAGAGGTGTTAGGCAGATGAATTGTAACGAAATCCCTGATATCTGGCAAATGGCTGTGAGAAGGTTCGCCAGAGTGCAAAGCATGCCAAGTTGCCTATATAAACTCTATTGAGCACACTGGACAAAGGAAGTCAACGCCGCACCACTCACATGAAGAATTGAGGCTGCATTCATTGGTACAGTTGGAAGATACTCTGCTCTCAAATAAATAGCCAGACTAACAATGCACACAAAGTTTGAACTAGTACTATTAAGCAAGTCATTTTCAATTGTGGTCTGGTAGCAGAAAAAAAGACTTTCATTGCATTTTGAGGATATATTTTCAAAACCTTTTAGCATATACTGTATTTTCAAAATGACTTTTTTTTGATAATTTTCTCTACAGCAGCTGACAATGATGAAAATTTGGTGCCTGAACCATGGTGTTAATTCTACAATCAAAGCTTCTAAAATGTTCATGCTTTAGTATGGACCTATCTGGGTGAATCCACTCAATAATGCCTCAAAAGCTAAATGTCTTCCCCTTTATAATGTCAAACAATTCCCTTTATATTGGCAGCATCAGCACATTATGAGTGTGACAAAGAAAAAAAAAGTAAGAAAGAAAAGAACAAAATCATAGCATTTCCTAACTATTTTACCCAACAGCCACAATGAATTATATTAAAATCAATATTACATTATGACACATCACAATCTTGTTCAATTCTGGTGACATGAATGAAAATGAAATTACCTATCACTAAAGCTTTCAAAGGTACAATACAAACGGTCACCAATGTTTCAACGAGACAAACTGTTGTACTGCCAGTGTGGATTGTTAATCCCAAAACAAAACAAACCTTTGTAGACCCGAATACAAACATAAAGAAATGCTGACAATCGTCACATCACTTGATGTTTGAAGCAGATGAAATTGTCATGAAAACTGTATTTCTTCACCTCAAGTAACAAGATGCACATGACTTGATATGACTAGGTTCTGAAAAATGCCACGTCTGTTTAAGTTTGTATGTCCATGAGTAACGGCATCGTTTAAAAGCTGCTCACATCCAAATGTTGCTAAAAAAAAATATATGAAGATGGAAACGAAAAGAACTTGAGAGGGATAATAAAAAAGCCCTCTCAGAGACAAAATAACTACTTTTGGGACCGCTTATTTTTGTGCAACACAGACCGTCGCGGCCTATACGCATAAAGAACTTCAGGAGTGCGGATCCTTCTTTCATCATTTTGTCTCTTCAGGGTGAGCTTTTTCCTAGTATATGAACAAACCAGTGAACTTGGATCAGTACATTTTTTAAGAAGCCTGATGATAAGGGACCTGGCCATTTTTCTCACAATGAGTCACTGCATGTAAAGGCTGATGATTTGGTTTGATACCTGAGTAACTGTACTGAGGAGGTGGCACACAGCTCAGCTATATACCAAAGAGTAGCCATGTTCATAGCTAAACAACAAGTAATAAGTCAAACAGTAGTATTGTGTGCACTGTGGATACCAGCCATCGGTGTTATACAGGATAGAAGGGCAATGACAGCATGTGTGAGAAAAATGGGAGTTGACATTCGCCTCAACAGTGTCCTCAAAACCACTAAATACTATTGCAATTTAAAATGCAGTGTGGGTGATAAGAGACCAATCCTTCGTTGCATCTTTCACATTGTTACGGGGTAGAGACAGTATGAGCCAACAGATCAGCTGCTGGTAATGGTACTGCACCAGTTTGAGTTTAACAGGGAACATTCTGCCTCAATTGCACATATACCAAAAATCATAACACAGAAAGGCCACTAAATACATGGAAATACAGCAATAACAAGACATCCAGTGGGACACAGACAGTACCTCTGAAAATGAAGGGAGAGCCTATCTCCAAAAACAAATCAAACATTTTGCTTCAGAACAGCACAACAATATGACTCATTGACAGTGAAAATTATGAGTATGAATAGCAACAACAATGGTGAAAATCACAATAGCGGGAGTAACAGTTTAAAGTCTGAGTGTGGCGGTATGGACTGTGAAGAGTTTCCGGTATTCCATATGGGAGTGCTTTAAGGAGCCCATCAGGTCCTGCTCAGCAGATTCACACAAGTCATGAAGGACAGCACATGGTAGCAGCTCAGCACATGGAAAGCCAGGTGGCACTGTACCTCATTGTATCACTTCCTCCTCCTCATCATCACCTCTGTTGCTCATTTGCCTCAAGTTACAAATCAAACGTGTTTCTTTTCTTCTCTATTTTGATCTCCCTGGCATTTTCACATTGCATACTTGTGTGTCCATTCTCTTGCTGATTTGTTGTACCTGTAAAATATATGCAAAGTTTGGAAAAAGGTTTCAGGTGACCTAGAAAACTAGGAACGTAATCTCCAAAAAATAATAAGACAGTAATGACAGTGATCAAAGCTGAGAGACGTCATTCATGTTTTACACTCACCTTTCCCTGTCAGCCTTGTACGTATGGGCGATCTCTGGTACCAGTGGGTCGTCCGGGTTTGGATCACAAAGAAGAGAGCAGATAGACAATAATACTGTGGAAGAGTGAATCAAAAAGTAATTAGATTACATTAACAGAAACCCAGTTGGACAATGACAGTGGATTTATTGGCTACTCTTAATACCAGCGCAGCCATGTGTGATTCTGACTTTGGATATTCATCACAATCGGGCAAAGCAATATTGATCAAATGGAATATCGATATATATACACACACATGGCCAAATACCGAATAATATAACTGATCATGTTTGTGCCTTGAGAATAATGATCAAATAATTAAAAGGCACCGAGTTATTCACTCATACTGTATTTTGTATGTATTCTATAAGACATCATTTTAAATTGAAAAGTTGATCAGAACTTCATTTGATGTAGGATTTGTTCCGACTTGACCTTTCTTTATCTCATAGACCTGGTTTGACTTTTCACATGAGACTGGAAAAAGTTCAATTGGGGGGGAAAAGACTTTGGTGGCAACATCACTCTTCCACATAATGCCTGCTATGAATGGGAAGTATTCAGAGTCGGGTGTGATCCATACAATGCACTTAAAGGGTAAGTGGTCTTTGGATGTTGCAATGAGGCAAGAAGTCAAATTTTCTGCCATTTACATGTACAATATTACAGCACTGGGAAAGAACACTCAACACCAGCTGACGGCATACAAGAGCTTTGGACTTCAGTCAGAGTACTGAAACTAAAAGGTAATCAAGATTGTGACACTTAATGGTCCAAAAAAGAATCAAAGGTATAATTTTACCTGAAAATGTAACATACTTTCGACAAAATGACAATTTTATAGTCAGGTTTCACAGTCAGGACTTCACCTGTCTCACCAAATAGCAGTGATGTATTCTCAGCTGTTCTTTCTGAATCTATTTAAGAGGTAACATTTGAGATATTTCAAATGTATGCTGAATGTTTGCCGTGTTGCCACCCTGTGCAAAGTGATTGTGGTCACTTTCACATCCTCTAAAACCCTTCTATAAGTGGACATGTTGACTTTTAAAACTGAATTGTAGCTAATAACATTAAAGGTGTAATATCCATGATGCAGAGCATTAATATAGCAGCAAACAGCTACTTGCAATGAAAAGATATAGTGGAGTAATGTCTACCTGAGCAGAGAATGAAGTTGCTCTACCTGTGTGTGCGTGTGTGTGTGTGTTGGTATTTGCATCTCTCCGTCAGCACTTTTGCTGTAGTTTGCACTGTTGCGAGGAAATAGAAACGCTCCCAATCTCGCATATTGTACCTCTAATACTGCTTGCATCACATTCAGCTGTGACAAGAGTCGGGGCCCTAGTGCTGTGGTTGTGCTGGCTAGTGCTAGCCAACATTCACCACTGTTTTAACAAATACAAATGTCAATACGCTAATATGAATACTGTATTATCACTTACCTTTTGATACTGTAAGTGCAGGTGACCATTGTGATCTCAGTATATCCAGACAAATACTTCCATTGCTGTTGATATTAGGGTGGTAAATTTTTGTTGTGAATGCAACCTGTGACAAATCGGAAAAAACAATGTTGTAATGATCCAGCGAAGCCAATTACCAGTTATCACACTACAAATGAATGAATGAGAAGTGAGTTGAGACATGTGACGCATAAGACATAGACCCACTCACTTTAGGTGGTTTGAAGGGGTAATCTGTCGGGAAGTGAATGGTGAGGAAAAACACTCCGCTCTGATAAGGGCTGTCACTCTATTGAAATAAAAACAAAAACGAGACAAGTTAGTCGACAGAAAATGGAATTGGTTTTGTAATATTTAAATCATTATTCCATTGGTTTTAGCTACAGTTTCACTTACCGGACCCATTATTGTTGCCTGCCAATGAAACACTGGGGAAAAGATTTATAATGCATTTAGCATATATATATATGGATGAAACATTCTTAAGCACAATGACTTCTGTTGTAATCTCAAAGAGGTATTACGTTCAGGCATAAACTGATGCAGCAATTTCCTCACTACTTACAATCTTCCCCAACTGGTCCAGCAGAGCACTGAGCAGGTGGGTCCTTCTGCAGGTCAGACAGCTCCTAAAGACACAACAATCACATAATGAATGAGCCTTGAATCTATTAGTCAGTTGATGTATTGCGACACCTGGGCTCTGCAGGGAAATAACATACACTTTAAGTTAGGTTTGAAAACAGAGTGGTAGTTTAATTTGTATTTATATCGTGTACATGTGGGTACACAAGAAAATATGATGATGCTTGAGCCTCATCATTAGGGCAATGTGCTATTATAACAATAATAATAACATAATTTTACCAACATTTATAAAGGTGATGAGTCATTGGTCAACTCTACTTAACTACACTTGCAGAGGTTTATCAGTCCAGTCTGACAGGATGAGTTACAGGGAGTTAAAGTTGTCTGAACATTGGTTCACCAGTTTGCATAAAATCAAACTGGTCTAAGCTCGTACAACGAACCGGACAAACCGGATATCGACCAAACTCTAGCTCTGAGGTTGTTGACAAGTAAATAGTTGTTTTGGGACAGATGGCTTCATAAATAATTTAGTCATCAGTGCAGTTCGGGCCATAGATGTTAACTACAAAGGTTACAAAGCTCAATAGTAAAGGAACACAAATGTTCTACAGAAATAATCAAATAAAAGGAATACACTCGAATGTTAAATTCCGTTTATTGTATTCACATAAAATATAACGGCTAGAGTCAACCGCCACAGCATTACATTCAACGCACTGACAGCAAAACAACAGATGGTTACATAGAAATAAAGCCCGTTATTTAACATCTCCTGAAAGTAAGCCTATCTATTCTGTTATATAAATACACACCGTGGCCTGCTCCACTGGCCCATTTGCCATTCCATATATGGCAACGCCGACACTAGAGTTTCAGATGCTTGCTTGTTTTGGCAACAAGCAAGCATCTGTCATTCAGCAACTAAAAACATCACCAGCCATACTACTAGTGAGCAACCACAAGGATAAAGACAACTGTCAAGCTAAGATATTAAAACCAAATCCTGTAACGTTAAACGTCAATCAGTCAAACCAGAGACGTTAGCCTAGCGCTGCACTACGACACGACTTGTTTAGCATTTTAGCCACCGTTACGTAAGTATTCATAAGGTGCTGAATGTCAAAAGTAACACGGATAAATACTCACCTAAACGTAAACAAAGCGTAGCTAGCTTTTAAAATAATGGCGCTGTTTGAGTTGTTATTCATAGCTAACAGCACGGTAGCAATGCACCAACATGGCCACCAGCGGTTAGCTCGTCTTTGTCTGTGAATTGTCTTTAAAAATGAGCACAAAACAAGCAATTCTACGGAAATAATAAATACAAAGCAACACACTGATGTGGTCTTAATAGAGGGCCCTGTGCTCAGAAAAAAACACCGGGTAAGGGTAGCACATGAAAGAAATATATACACTCACCTTCTGGATTCGTTTCAACGCCATTGCATCAATGGCTATGCTATGTAGCTAGCCAGCTAACAGCTAGCCCTTCACTCATATAATTCGGCTTCTGTGGCCGCGTACTTCCTAATCTCACCTAACGTACAATCAGGAAATCACGTGTGATATAACGTTACAGTAGGCTTGGTTTGTTTCTAGTTCAATAAAAGCGACAAATGGTATGGTAAATGTTGATCTTTCGTTCGCTTACAACAGAACAACCGGAATATTTTGCTGTCTCGCTTCTCACCTCCTGCCTGTCAAACGGGTTGTGGTAATATCGCGAGACTTTTCTTTTGTGAACGACGACGAGGCTACGACTTCCATGGCTGTAGTTCTGAAATACTGTACATTATTAGTTTTTTTTTAACAGTTTTAATACGGTCCCCATCACGAAATCAAAGTTAAATCACTTCCAACACTTAACGCAGATAATCCAAATGGTAATTTCGAGAAAACAACTGCATGTTACTTATGTTCTCCAGTCTGTTTGCCACTCTATCACATATGCTGCCTTAAATCAAACGTTATTCTCTATTTGAATATGTATTTTTAAATCATCAATAATGCAATCATCATCCTCATCAAGTTAACAGCACTATTACTAGAGCTAAGAATGCAGGGTTGTAACAACAGGGGAATACATTCCCAAAACATATACAGCACAATTATTGAGGTCAGGCGTCCACAAGATGTCACTATTTGAAAAGAACAAAAACACACATAGGAAAGCTATGGCCAGAATGGATAATGTACAGCTTTGACCAGAAAACGTGTTTGCAAGATCTTCTGTCATTTATGAAATCAGTTGCTACATGCTCGGAATAACTTAATTCATTAAAGTTTTGTTTCGAAACGAATTTGCTCCGGGGTGAAAGTGCATGACAATGGAGAAGCAAAGTACAATAAAGCCAAATAAATGTATTATTTACGCAAACACAAGACTAAAGAAAAAGACTATAGAATTGTTCATTCAATACCCAATCATTGTAAAGGCATATTCATCTGAGTCAGCTGCATGCTCTGGTTTCTGCACAGCCTTGTCTTGCAAAGCCTCATGAGCTTCCCTTTATATGTCTTAAACAAGAGTGAAAAAAGAGCTCTCATTATTTTAGTGAGTATGTATGAATGGGCCACAGTGTTCATTCTTCTTAAATGGCTGATTCAGTGTCAGGTTGAGGATCCTATCGTCAATGTGACACTGAGAGGGACCATTTTCCTTTGGAAAGCTGAAGATTCCTTCAGATAATATCTTATTGTTTGCTCATCTCTGTGCTCTCAATGACCTGCCTGTCCTCAGGGCCTGCCTGTAATCAGATTCAGTCAGCAGCAGAGGTAGCAGTTTGCGTCTTGTGCAGCAGGGGCCTTGTGTTCTGAGTTGGTCTTCTTGGAGAGGCCATTTATCAGCATGAGGTTTTCAGACACAGTCAAGCCCACACGTTGTTGGCTTCAAGCCTCAGTTCACAAAGCCTCCCACAGTCACTCTTCTGTAGCTTCCTCTGAAATCTCAAATCACATTGGTTTGCTTGCTACTGTGTACTTTAAACCTACAGGGTTCGTAGTGGACAGATAGTGAGCCCTTCAGTTATGGGGTGATGCTACCTTGTAAACGTTCAAAGCAATAAGCAAGAGATGTTGTGGTTTCTATAAAGCAACATATCACTGACCTGTATGGGGAATTTCCCACCTATAAGCAGAAGTTGAGTTTTTTGTTACAGGGCTGGTGCCCCAAGTTCCAAATTGATGTATGAGCCAAGGCGTGAGCGTGTCAGAACTGGGATGATATGGGTGGGAGTTGGAGCTTAGTTGACCTGTCTCATGAGGAATATAGCCTATAGTGCTGTTATTTGAAACCATGAACTGAAAAGACTCCAGTGATCTGTCTCTTTGGTCACATGAATCATCATTGGTAGAAGTTCCATTGTATAACAGAAAGCATTCCACTTATTGCTGCAATTATGCTAAAGCTGCGTCTTAACTTAAGTATATTCCTCTCGATGGCACTTTTCCCATGGTTGCGATTGCCTTGACAAAGCACATGGTCACTGTCATTTTCAAAATTAACTTAAATGGATCTTGCTAATGTCTGAATTATCCAATAAAATCACAACCAATTAACGCTGAGCACAAGCTGGGTTCTCAGTCCCCAGAGGTGTTCTACCTTCGGTCAGTGTATTACCTTTCTGAGGACACTCTTATGGAACTTAGTTCCATTGTTCCCACATACTAAGAGATATTTGTTCACTCCTTGTATCAATGGTCTTGATTTGATTATACACTCAGGCAATATGTGCAAGCAGTGCTCATGTTTGCAGTGAAGTCAGCACTCTGCACAATCAAATAATTCTTGAGCTAAGCAACTGGAAAAAAGGGGTTATTATGTAGGGAGCAATCAGTGTTTCATGGCTCATTTCCTTAGCTGTGATTTGATTTTGCTTGTCAGTGTTAAGGTGGCCTTTGACCTAGAAAATCTCTGAATTATTCCTCAAATCTTCCTTTTGCTTTTGCTTTTCACTATTAGTTTTACAACTTGGATCAATAACGGAAAGTCCATTATAAGAGAAAAGTGAAGCTTCCCCTTGTCTTCTTCTTGTGTTTCGGATATTAAAACAAGCTGGTACACGGTGCATGTTTTTTTGGCCTACAAGTATTAAATGATGCAATCATATAAACATTTATAGCTTCAAGGATGTGCTTATTAAATAGCAATATAAGTTTTAACTGTGGCTGTGGAGTACTCTGCAGGTTTTATTGGTCTAATTGCATAGCTGATTATGGGATGTCTAAAGCACAAAAATAATACTTCATTAGTGTTTTCAGAGACCAAACCTGTTAAAAGTGACAGGCTGAGTTATGACTTGTTTACTGAATAAGTTTCTTTGGACCCTTTTTTTACATACAAACATACAACGTTTGAAGAAAGGTCCCTTTCAAAAGGCATTTTAGTTTAAACTATAGCAATGCATCAGATTTAAAGTTTATCATATGTTTTGCATTTCATATCTTAATTGGTAAAGTAAATTCAGCCATCGCAGAGATGTAGTGAGTTGAACGTGGAGTTTTCCTTTGGAATGTACTAAAGTAAAAGAAAAAAATGTGATGAAAAAACTCAAATAAACACCCTGTTGATGAATTATGGAGTCATCATCTCCAAAATAATTTATGTTTTTTTTTTTTTTAATTCTTCTCTGATTATCAGTGTTTAATGTCTCTATGGAGAGAGCAGAAAGAATGAGATCTGATCCAGTCCCCTGTGTCCGTCACCTCTGATCCACCCTTATCAGATGAGCATCATGGAGCACAGACACAAACCACACATATAGTCATAAAGAACCAGTAATCCTTCGGGGTTAAGCACTTAAAGATAAATCCCCAGAGCCCCCTGTGTCTCTGTGTTGCACCACAGCTCGGCACGGTGATTGACAGCTCTGGAAACTGTTTTACTGTGCTGCTCTTTCAATGAGTGGTCTCCAGAGCCTAGGTAATAACTAGTCTGGAGTGTTAACTAATACGTTTAGCGGTGACTCTCGGTAATTAAATGTGTTCCAGCCGTTTGAGTTGTGATGCAAAATTCAGGTTTTTCCAGTTTGCTGAGCTTCCTTGAGAGACAAAGGAGGGATTTCCTCTGAAACAGACAGGCAGTGGCAGCACCAACAAATGGCTTGGTACTGTTATCAAATAGAAAGTCTGACTAAATATAAACTTATCATCTGCAGCCTGAGCCTGTGCAGAAATGAAGGGAAAGCAACAGTTGAAACAATGTCCTGGGACAAAGCGAGTAGATTCATAAAAAACATAATAAAAGAAGTATTAGGTAGTCACAGCTTGTGAAATATTCTTGTTACCTTTGTACTTTTGTTACAGCCAAGCACACACACACACACACACACACACACACGTCTCTCTAACTTTTGCTACATGATTCATAGATATTGAAGCAGCCACCTGTCGCTGGAGATTTTACCGTGTAGAGGTGTGTGGTTATTGTCCGTGACTGTGTGTGACCGTAAGTGACTGGGACATTGGGGGCTGTCCATCCTGCTGCACAATAAACAGTTTGTTTCCCAGGAGCACCCCTCATGTTCCTGTTGTTGGCTCCATCGTTGCTCACTGGGAAACGTCCTGGCCTCTATTGTCCAGGAGGTCGGAGGGTCACAGGATGCTCCTAAAGGCCCAAAATTGGAGGTTGGTTAGTGAGGCATGATAAAGAGCTAACCCCCCTCCTCCACACATGCACCCCTTAAAAACAAAACATTAAAATTGCTTCTTTTTTCCCTCTCTTGTCACACCGTCTTTCATTCAAAATCTCAGTCATTATCAAGAGTTTCAGGAAATGAAATCAGGACAAGGCTTTGACTGATTGCTTCATATTGAACATCCTGATTGCCTCTAGTACGTTTTTTCATGTGTAGGGCTCTGTTCCTTGCGTGCGTTCTTTACGAATTTTTAATGGCAGACGTAGTCCACAAGCTTTCCCATACAAAAATGGGAAATTCAATCTAAGCAACTAACAGATGGGTAAGGCATATCATTAAAGAAAAAACAAAACAGCCAAGAAAGGAGTGGTTGTATTGTACCGTTCTTACCACATAAATGTTATTCTTTAACCACAGACAGAGCTAAAACACTGGCTGAAACTATGGAGCAGATACATGCTTGTGATTGCAGTGACATTTTAAACAGACTAGCACATAAACAGCCACATAAATGCTGTTTTTGCAGGCCGATTAAATATGTCGCCTCATAACAGCAGAGATTTATAATACTTAAGCAGACACACCATGCTGCTATAATGGAAACTTCTTGCACCTCTCTTTACAAACTGACAGCACACTCTGAGGTGTGTATCGGTTTGAGCTATTGTGTGAAACAGCAGCCAAGCAATATTTCCTTTTGAAGTTATATTTTTAAGGCTTTTGAGCAATGGTTTAATATTTTTTATTGCGCTTGAACCGAAGCGCTTCAGGGTTTGCAGCCTGTCCTTTGGTTCGGTACCGGAGGAATGGGTAGACATGCTATTCTCAGGACAATCACGGGGACACATCTATCTTTTTTATGGAGCTGAGCTAACTGGAGCTTTGAACAATATTCCAGATACTTCTTGCATTTCATTATATCAGCCTAATACAAATGGATTTTTATCCACAGCACCTCAACAGCAACAAGAAGGCTGTGGTCCTTTCTTTATCCATCCCCAAACCTCACATTTGATGTATAGTGCAATCAGATGACTATTGGTTCACACATCCATAGG